TAGGTTGACATCTAAAACCAAAGATAACAAATAAGTCTTCTCTTAATTTATTAGCTGACATCCTATAACCATCTAGGTAGGTTTTTAGACGAGATCTTATCTTGTATTTCTTGTGATTTTCTCTAATATTGCTTAAATTCGACATTTTCATACCGATTTTGATTTAGGGATCGATTTGCGATTGTTAGAGTCTCTAAGGTCTCAAAATTCTGTAATAGTCTCCTCTTCCTATAATAAGAACAAATATTTTTGCCGCAAAGTTATCATACGAGTGTTACGAATTTTCTCTATTGTTCCTTAAACTAGCATGGTCAATATTTTGTGATCGATTTTCAATTTTGATATCGTTTTTACAATTTTGTTAGAGTTTGTAAGGGCTTTAAATTTAGTTCTAATATCCTCCTCCTTTAATAAATTCAAATATTTTTCCCGCAAAGTTATCCTACGAGTGTCTCTGTGTGGAGTTTCTCGAAATTATTTACTAGGCAATGTTGGGCGCCATTTTTGATAAGTTGACATCTAAAAACAAATATAACAAATAAGTCTTCTCTAAATTTGTTAGCTAATAACCTAAGTACCCAGATGAGTTTTAGGTGAGATCTTATCTTGTATTTCTAGGTCTTTAAACCGTAATTTTCTCTATTGTTCCTTAAACTCTCAAAGTCGATATTTTGTGACCGATTTTCCATCTTTTGCGATTTTGTTAGAGTTTCTAAGGCCTCAAAATTCTGTAATAGTCTCCTTCTCCTTTAATAAATTCAAATATTTTTGCCGCACAGTTCTCCTACGAGTGTTAGTCTCTGTGTGGAGTTACTCAAAATTTTTTGTTAAGCAATGTTGGGCGCCACATTTGAAAAGTTGACATCTAAAATCAAAGATAACAGATAAGTCATCTCTAAATTTTTAGCTTATAAACAAAGTACCCAGATGGGTTTTAGACGAGATTTTATCTTGTATCACTCGGTCCTTAAACCGTAATTTTCTCTACCATTGCCAAACACGCAAAGCCAACATTTTGTGATCGATTTTTGATTTTGAAATCGATTTTGCGATTTTGTTGGAGTCTCTAAGGAATTATAATTTCGTTTTAGTCTCCTATTTCTTTAATAAAATCACATATTTTTACCTCAAAGTTATCCTACGAGTGCTAGTCTAACTAATATTTCTCTGAGTTATTTATTAATTAAAGATGGGCGCCACTTTTAAAAAGTTCATATTTAAGAACAAGAGAACGGATAAGTCTTCTCTAAATTTATTAGCTGACAACCTAAGTACCCGGATGGGTTTTATACGATATCTTATCTTGTATCTCTATGTCCTTATACCGTAATTTTCTCAATCATTGCTCAAACACGCAAATTTGACCGATTAGAGATAGATTTTGCGATTTTATTAGAGTCTCTTAGGGTTTAAAATTCCATTCTAGTCGCCTCCCCACTCCCCCTTTAATAAGATCAAATATTTTGCCGTAAAGTTATCCTATGAGCATTCGTCTCCGACTGATACTTATCTGAATTATTAATTATTTTGAAAAATTGGCATCTGAAAACAAAGAGAACAGATAGATCGTTCCTAAACTTGTCAGCTAACAACCTAAGTGCTTCGATAATTTTCTCTACTATTGCTAGAACTTGCAAATTCGACATTTTGTGGACGATTTTCGATTTAGAGATCGATTTTGTTAGAGTCTAAAATGACTTAAAATTCAGTTGTAGTCTCCTCCTCCTTTAATATAACAAAATATTTTTGCCGCAAAGTTATTCCATGAATGTTAGTCTCTGACTGATATTTTTATACCCTCCACCGTACATAGCATGGAGCGTATATTAATTTAGTCATTCCGTTTATAACTCATTGAAATAATAATTTTAAACCTATCAAAGTTCTTGATCAGTGTCAAATACTGAAACGATTTAGCCCAGTCCTTCCGTTCGTCTGTCTGTTTGTTTTAATTACGCTTGAGTCAAATCGAATTGATATAGGAAGCTAAAATTTTGCACAGATCAGTCTTTTGTGTGCAGGCAGGTCAAGTTCGAAGATGAGCCATATCGGTCCACGATATTGTATAGCCCCCATATAACGGTACCCCCGATATTCGGTATTTTAATGATTGTAGCCAAAATTGTCAATGAACTTGTCTGAAAATACACTAAAGAAGTTCCTTCTGAGTACTTGACGACCTTGGAAGAGTATTGTCTGTGTAGGTATCGTATATCCCCCATATAACGAAACCTCCCTATATTCGGTATTTTGTGGCTCGATTATGCATTGCCACCAAACTTGGGTTGCGTTATCAGTTGTCAGCGGGACTGAAATAAAATGTTGTATTATAGAAGGCAACCCAATTGAGTTGTCGATAAACGTGTTATCGATCAGTGTATTTTCCATTTTGTGAACTCTAAACTTCAAAAATGTCAATAAATTCGAAATAACAAAACACAATTCATTTGTTTCCTTCAAAAAAATATTGTTTGCCATTAAAATTTCATTTTGTTCTTTCACTTCCTTTTCAAGTTTTTCTATGGTCAACAAAAGTTCATTTTGTGTGGATGTTTGCTCCCTAAGGATACTTATTTTGCTGTCCTCCCTTCTTACAGTTCGCGGAGTGGGACGAACACTCTCCATTTGGGTAGCAACTTCTTCTTGCTCCACCTCAACATTTGACACTATTTCTATCCTATTTTCATCCCATGTCTCAATTATTTCGTAAATGGCACCTGCAGGATCTGTTACTAAATTTATTTGTAGTAGATCTGCTGCGGTTTGCTCCAACGGCGAGAGACGCACTTCTTGTGATGGACCACCACCTGTGGCGTTAAGATTTCTTTTATTTTGCGACATTTCCATACTCTCTGCCATTATTCTGGTGTCCTTGTTGGTGGACCATGACTGTTTAGGTTGTCGGAAATTTTCTTCCACGCTTCATCTGCAGTGGCTTTGGTTTCACCAAAGACACGGATTCCTCGAGCTAAGTTTGGATTAGCACCCATTTTTTCAATAATTGTTAAGAAAATGTGTATTTACCTCTCAATTTTACTTTTTCTTCTTTGAAAACGTTCACTGCAACTGCAAATAGATGGTTGCTCAAATATGGCCGCTGTAGCAACTGAAATTCGCAACTTCAGTTGAAAGTTGCAACACATAATGCAATTTTCGCAACTGGCAACGCCACTCAACGATAGTTGTTATCGATAATCGGGCCACTGATGATTTAAGCTACATTTTTCAATGGAATTGTCTAAAAATCCATACTAGAAGTTCTTTCTAAGCATTTTACCCGCTGGAAGATATCGTATAGCCCACGTACAACGGTACATCCCAATATTCGGTATTTAGATGATTTTAGGTACAATATTCACCGAAATTGTTTGAAATTTCGTATTAAGATTTCGTAATGAGAACTACAGTCTATGACAGAATATTGTCTATCCAGTCTTTGTATAGGCTCCATGTATCAGTACCTCCCGATATTCGGTAATTTGATAATTTTACGGACATTGTTCACCGGAACTGTTTTAAATTTCGTAATTGAAGTTCGTAATGGGTACTACAGCCTATGATAGAAAATGGTCCGTGCGTATCCACGCCTTCGTGTAGGCGCCTTATATCAATACCTCCCTATATTCGGTATTCTGACGTTTTTCTTTTGTGACATTTTTCACCGGAGTTGTTTCAAATTTGGTATTTAGAGTTCGTAATGGAAACTACAGTCTATGACAGAAAATTGTTTATGCAGGTCAAGGTCTTCGTATAGGCCCCATATATCAGTACCTCCCTATATTCGGTATTTTGATGATTTTAGCGGCATTATTCACCGGAATTGAAGTTCGTAATGGGTACTACAGCCTATGATAGAAATTAGCATATGCGGACCCACGTCTTCGTATAGCCTCCATATAACGATACTCCCCAATATTCGATATTTTGATGATTTTAGCGACATTATTAACCGGAATTGCTTCAAATTTGGTATTTGAAGTTCGTAAAGGATACTACAGCCTAAGACAGAAAATTGTCTGTGCAGGTCCAGGTCTTCGTACAGTCCCCATATAACGGTACCTCCCGATATTCGGTATTTTGATGATTTTAGCGACATTATTCACCGCAATTGTTTGAAATTCCGTATTTGAAGTTCCTAATAGGTTGCCTATGCAATTCCAGGTCTCCGTATGAGCCCCATACACCGGTACCTCCCTACATTCGGTATTTTCCTGATTTTAGCTACATTATTTACCGGATTTTGTTTTCAGGTTTCGTATTTGAATAATGTAATGTCTCATGACAAAAGTTGCCTATGCAGGTCCCCGTCTTCGTATAGACCCCAATATAACGGCTATATTCGGAATTTTTTCAATTTTTACAGAATTTTTAACGAATTTTATTTTTTTTTTGAAAATTTCCAAATTTTTTCCAAATGGTGGTGGGTATTCAAAGTTCGGCCCGGGTGAACTTACTGCTTTTTCTAAGTTATTTCCTTTGCAATAAAGTGGATATAATCGAATGGTTTCAATTAAAATTAATTTATTTGGTATACAATAAGTTTCAGTTTATGTTTTATTTATTTTACAAATTCTTTATTTTTTTCTTTTAAATTTATTTAAATTAATTAAAATTTAAATATTTAAAATATATTTAACTAACTAGCAAATACAAATAGTAATAATTTTTTTTTTTATACATAACCTTAAAATGTTCTTAATAATGTCTAATTATTTATAAATAGTTTGGGGAGAAGAAAAACAAATTCTTCGTGGATGTTTTTAGTTTTTTTTTTGAGAAAAATAAAAACATTTTACACTTAAAAATTAAATATTTAAGATTTTTTTGTTTTAAAATTTTGGTTTTAAAAAATAAATTCACATTGAAATACAATTAAAAAAAATTAACTATACGACTTATGGTCGTATGAGGTCAGATTTTTTTTTCTAAATCATGACTTGAAAATAAGTTTTGGAAAGTAACCGCCAAGTAATTAATAAAAATAATTACTTGTTGCAATATTTTGTTTGGAGGGGAAAATTTAACTAAAAATCATTTGGAGAATATCTTTTTTACGCTTTCCTTAAATTCTTCTTAGATTTAAAAACTTAGCTAATTAGAAACTACTTGTTGTTGTTTTTGTTTTTTTTTTTTTAGCATAGATATACACAAAATTTTTGACAAAATTTTTGCCGGCCCGGTCACTCTGCCTTCGAGTCACTCTGATGGCCAGGCGACGAGGTTGTGGAATTTGGATTGTCGGAAGTGATTGTTAATGGCGATGTGGTTGTGGTCGTGTTGCATGTCTTTGCGGTGTCCGTCACCGTTGTCGTCTTGTGAATATTCTCCATTTCAATGTCGGAACAATTGTCGGAATTCGATAGAGCCGAGTCCATAGATGTGACAGTCATATTCACCTGTTTATCGCTGCTGTCTTGCGGCAGCAATGGTTTCTCTGCGGCACTGTTTTCCACATCGAGAGGATTGTCTTTTAATTGATTCGATATCACAAAACTGTTGCTGTTGATGTCTTCGATGGCCTTGCGGAGCTGTAGAGGGGAAAAAGAGAAAAATAATTTTTTTTAGAAAAATAATTAAATCAGCCTCCTAAGAAAATGTGTAAAATATGATAAAGATTACGACTTCCGAGCCTTAGCGAAAATTTATTTAAATTTACGATCTCCAATACTATAGCATGCTCTAGGCTGATTTAAGAGACAATTCAAGGAAGGAGAACGTAGTCGGATGTAAAAATTCTCAGTCTCAACAGAAAGTTTCGAGCAAACCACATTGGAAATCACCCGCCAAAATTACATTCCAAACTGCAGAAGCTTTTTGTAGTTCATCGAACAGTCCTTAGTACCTTAAGGAAGTTATGCCGAGCTTTCCGCTTTTTTTAGGTATAACATTGGTAAAAATATGGAAGTCACCAAGATCGCACACAGATTAATTCGGCAGGTTTGTCCACAAAAATATTAAACATGCCTTTTTCATACATTCGACTTGTGGCGCCCAACATGAAAAAAAATCAGAAACATATTTTGAGGAACATCAAGTGTGGACAATTTGGAAAATATTCCTTGGACTTGCCCTAGAAAGCCCAAAAGGGAGTGGCAAAGATTCTAGAGGCCATGCTTCTGACATCCTATACGGAGCCGGTTCATTTGGACGACCAGTGGAGAAGTGGACATTAAAAAAGGCTATAAAAACGCTCGATCCTAGAGAGGCTGGACAACATCATTTCCAAATCACTTTAAAATATGCTTGGATAACTCCGGGTCCACTAGACAGTCATAAGTTAAGATCAGGAAACCTAGGTCCTCAAAAAATGAAGCATTTCTTCAGATTGGACTACTCTTTACAAATTAACTCCGTCAGCTTAGAACTTGAACCTGAAATCATGTAAAGATGATTATACCGTTCTGAAATCGAGTCGAACATCTGAATATAACTGTTCTGCTCCCAAGTCAACTTTTCCACATAAAAAAGAGATACCCCTGCCACTTAAAGTAAACATACGTGATCAGAGTAACTCTTTAGTATTGGGCGCCATTTTCAAAAAGTTTGCAGCTGAATCCGCAGAAAATTAAGAAATCATCTTTCAATCATAAGTTGACAGTAGCTCAAGCATTCCCACGATGTATGAGTTCAATACGAGCTCGAATTAGACAATAATTTTCCTATAAGTTGGTAACTGGAGATGCCGCCGAAACACCATGAACGAAGTCAGGAAGACGCACTTGTCTAGTCATTTTTCTAAACTGAAACCAAGAACTCTAAAATGTTGGGCGCCACCTTTGGTTAGTTGGCATTCAAAAATTTAGAAAACCGAATAACCTTCTGTAAATATTTAGCTGATATCCTAAAATCTGATTTTGCATCTCTTTGGACTGAAACTGTAATTTTTTTATTGAGATCTAATCAACGTTCAAAAAGTCTAAAACATTGGGCGCCACATACGACCGATGTAATAAACTTTAAAATATTGTGCGCCATTTGTAGGAACAAATAGAAAATGTAAACGTAAGGAACAGATAATTCAATTTTAATCATTAGCTGGGAGCAGCGTGGGTAAAAATCTACAGACCAGGTGGATTTAATCTAATCCCTCATTCGGGTAGACGTACAACCATTGGGGATCAGATAGATATCATTCCAACTCTGATCTGGTATCTCTAGATACTGAAATCTAGACCACGTTCAGGAATTCTTAAACCATTTTCGAAAAACCGTTAAGTGTAAACACAGCTCGGGCAAGGACATGGTGACTATTGCCACGACATAAGAAGTCAGCACGTACAACCTAAGAAAATCAGAAGGTCTTGCCTGAATTCTGCTCTGGCATCTCTAGATATTATATTTCTCATGTTTTCAGTACTAAAATCTGACTAATATACAAGAACTCTAAAATGTTGGGCGCCACTTTCGGTAACTTAACATCTAAAAACAAAGAAAACACCCAAGTCTTCTCCAATTTTTTGGCTGACAACCTAATTACTTAGATGGGTTTTATACGAGATCTTATGTTGTGTATCTAAGTTCTTAAGCCGTAATTTACACTACTATTTGTAAATTTTTGATCGAGTCTAAGAGTACTAAAAACTCTAAAATATTGGGCGCCACTTCCCAGAGAAAATTCAATTATTCCAACGATGGACTAAGCCATGACATACAGTATAAGAAGACCAGATAGGTTTTATCCGAACCCTGATATGGTATCTCTAAGTACTTAACCAGTTATCTGTATAACTAGTTTCCCTACTGAAGCCTAAGCAAAAGTCAATACTTCTAAAGTATTGGGGGCCACTTTCGACAAATTCGCATCCGAAAATGTTGAAAACAGAAAAGTCGTATTTAATAAAGCAAATAATGAAATGACATCCTAAAACGTTGTTATGGCAACAACCTGTTGAGGAAGGATTACATCACTTCATTCAATACAGAACTATCTCACTTGTGGCATTATGCCCTATAACAAGTTACAAGCGATGGCGCAGCATATCGACTATGACACGATGTATAACCAATTTATCACCTGAAACCTGTAAAGAAAGTCTTAAAGCGGGGCAAGGCCGATTTTATGATACCCTACACCACTTTGCTAATTTAGTAGAGCTGCGCATAACAATTAAAAGTTTTTATGGGAGAATTCAATCATACACGCTATGATTATAATTATAATTTAAAGTTCAAAGGACTAAGTATGCCGAAGCATTTGTATCTTTTAAATTCGGAATTGTATTGCCCATATGGTGCACAATTAATTTGAAATCGGATAAAAATATATATATGAGCTATATACAAATCGGAACCGATCTCGATAAAATTTGGCAAAGATATTTCTGAGCTGTGTTTGATATATTTCCCTGAATATTGTTGTTACGGAGTGCATATTACGGCTGTGGGTAACAAATATGACAAATCGGATGAACAGTTACATCTGAACCCGATCTTCACCAAATTTGACATACTAGCTTCTAGACTCAATTCGGTCGTAAGTGCCAAATTTCATCCAATTTGGGCAAATATTAGACGTTTGGTGCACAATCAAAGGTAAATCGGACGAAGTTATATATGGGAGCTATATCCAAATCTGAACCGATCTCGATAAAATTTAGCAAATGTATTTTTGAGCTGTATTTGATATACGTCCCCAAATATTGTTGTTACAGAGTGCATATTACGGCTGCGGAGGACAAAAATAACAAATCGGATGAACAAAATATATGGGAGCTATAGCTATATCTGAACCGATTTCGATTTCAAATTTGGCATACTTATTTTCAGGTCCAATCTGATCGTACTTGCAACATTTCATACTATTCGGATAGACATTACACGTTTGGTGCACAATAAAAGGCAAATCGGACGAAGATATATATGGGAGCTATATCTAAATTTTGACCGATTATCTCCAATTTCAATAGGGTTCGTGCTTGGGCCAAACAAATGATTTGTGCAAAATTTCATCTGGACCGGGTAATAAAGGCGAACTGTACTTTGTTTACAAAAATACATGGACGGACGGACGGACATGCATAAATCGAATCAGAATGTGATTCTATGCAGATCATCAAAAGGAACTATGGGTCTATTTCGTTACCTTTTGCCTGTTACAAACAAATGCACAAAGACATAATAACCTGACCACCTTGTGGTGTGGGGTATAAAAAGATGGGAGAGAAACCGTTAAGTCGTCATGTTCCCAACCCATTATTTTTCTAAGATCAGACCATCCACCTACATAAAATCATAACAAGTGGGAGATCACCAGATTTCATAACCTCTCTCCTTCAACATCAACATATGCTTCAGAGAACTGAATTATTAATTGGATGTTGGAGAAGCAAAGTAGATTTTGAAATTGGGCATTTCTTTCGGAAAGTTGGGTGCTTCTTTCGGCAAACACAATGTAACTTTAAATCCTTAACTTTAAATCCTTAGCGGAACCAGTTCGATTCTTCATGTACTTAAGTATTCACTAAAAACAGAACTAGTCTTGCTATATAGGTAATACGGGCATCTATCCAACATTTATTAATAAACCAAAAAAAAAAAAAGAAGATACGAATGGACGAGGATACTGAGTCAATGACGTAAAACCAAAGAGATTCGTTCTGAAAACTTATCTGGAGCATTTACGTATTTGAAAATTTACATTTTTCCACCGAAACCCGAACGACGTTAATAACTTGTAAGAGTTGGGCGCCACTTTTGACATGTTTTTATCATTAGGACGAACAATTTTAAAACCATACGAGTATTTCCCCAACTCTGATCTGGTTGCGTTGGACTGATACCTGGCACATATATATTTGATGCTTTGGATAGAAAGAGGAGAGAAGAAGAGCAAAATCGAGTAGATTATTTCTAAGGCGTACGAAGGACGAGCGAAAAACTTAAGATCAATTGGATTTTATCCGAATTGTGATCCGTAGCTTTACATTTTAATTTAATTGTTTTTTTTTTTTTCGTGGAACCTGGTCCAAATTCCGCTACTCTTAAAATATTGGGAGCCACTTTAGACAAGTTTGAATCATAAGCTAGTAGTAGACTTCGTAAAGCATAGCATTAAGAAAACGAATGAAGCCTTGATATTCAATTCAGAAAGACAATATGGGATTTATTCGAACTCTGATATGATATCTCTTCGGATTCAAAGAGTACAACCTGCAGTCACTGATGAAAACCCTAAGTATGTCAAAGCAATCACATTTAGCGACCTCTATTTGTCTGTCTACTTATCCTCACATATTTGACATTTCAATCACTCTGGAATGTAGCTCTGAAATTCGAGCGAGCTTCGAACTCTTTACTCGGATTCGAGCGGGAGTACTCTGAATCCTATGCCACTCAAATAAGAGCGAATATGTTTTGTTCGTTTTCGGGTGGGTAATTAGTTTTTGCCATTTTGTTAGTAAGTACGTGTATTTTTGCAAACGAAATAAATATCCATCACCGAATGACCATTGCCTTAATTAGGCTAAATTTTCAAATTAGACCAAAGATGCTGAAGAGCATTGTCGCCAAACAATATAAATGCTCACTCGAGTTAACTCTTGGAGTAAACTCTTACTCTATTTCGCTCATTATCTTGGCTACTCTTATTTTTCAAACAGGAGAAATTCGAGAGCGCTTCCACATACAACAAAAGAGTGGAGAAAAAACTTTGTTTACAACTCCTACCCTTCAAGCACTCTCTCTCTTTTGGGAGTAAAACAAAACAAATCTATGCTCTTCTCATAGAGTCCTATTTATCCAAGAAACACTAAAACTATAAACTTAGATTTTCACGAATATTTTCAAAGGACATTCAACCTTGTCTTCTGTTCAGGATGTTTTTCAAGTGACCCATAGTTTTATTTTGCCTTATTCTTCACTTACCTCCTTCAAGCCCACCACCCCAACAAGACGGCCAATTTTCGTGACATAGGCATGATTGATGCCCACCATTGAGAACAGTGAATGTACTTTGAGTATAGAGGTACGTTCGACCAGCTGGAAGGGACTGGGATCAATGTTGACATTGGCCTTCTCCAGGTCAATGGGTTTTTGCATTTCTTCCATTTCCCATTTCTTTTGATCCTCCGGTGACATATCAATGACACGTTCTCGTGGCTAAAATAAAAAGTTAACAAATTTTATAAATTAAAAATGAGGTGCTTAGAAAGCTTAGGAATAAATTGTAGCCATCACCATAACATACCAATTGGACACTTTTGACCTTTTTGATACTGCCTTTATAGGACTATACAAATGGGGGTTTTTGTGTTTCGCATAAGTTTATTGAAGTGTATGTACATGTGCGTAGTTAAAGATAATATATGTTAAGAGCGAGTGGAAGAGAGAGAGAGAGAGACAGGGTGTGTGTATGTGAGGAAGAGAAAAGAAGAGAAAAATATACAGATTACATTAAAAGATTATACATTACACCATAACACCATGGGTTAGTAGGAACATTTTCATTAAATCAAGGAACTTTTTTTTCATAAAATAATTAATTTTCATAGAAATAAATGAATTTTTACATAAATTCTAGAAACTTTTTCATAAAATCAAAAAAAAAAAATTGTTAAATAGAATTCGGAGGCATTGCGTTCAATTTAGGAACTTGTCAAAAAATCAATGAACTTTTTCATTAAATCAAGTAACAATTCATAAAAGCAATGAACTTTTTCATTAAATTAAATAACATTTCATTTAATTTAGAAACTTTTTCATTGAATTAAGTAACATTTCATTAAATCAATGAAATATTTCATTGAATTAAATAACTTTTCATAAAATCAATGAACATTTATATTGAATTAAATAAAATTTCATTCGATCTAGGAACTCTTCATAAAATCAAATGATTTTTTCATAAAATTAATGAACTTTTACATGAAATCAATAATTCTTTCATTAAAATTATGAATGGGTACATGAAATCAATGAAATGTTTCTTTAAATCCAGTAACATTTCATTAAATTTAGGAACTTTATATAAAACCAAGTTATCATTTCATAAAATCGATGAAATCTTACATAAATTTAAGGAACATATTCATAAAATCAATAAAAATTCAATTTATGAAATTTTCATAAAATCAATGAACTTTTTCATTGAATCAATTAACATTTCATAAAATCAATGAACTTTTTAATTGAATTAAATAACTTTTCATTTAATTTAGAAACTTTTCATAAAATCAATGAACTTTTTCATTAAATTAATAAACATTTTTTTTAATTTAGAGACTTTTCTTAAAATCATTAAACTTTTACATTGAATTAAATAAAATTTCTCGTCATAAAATCAAATGATCTTTTCATAAAATTAATGAACTTTTACATGAAATCAATAATTCTTTCATTAAAATTATGAATGGGTACATAAAATCAATGAAATTTTCCATTAAATCGAGTAACATTTCATTAAATTTAGGAACTTTACATAAAACCAGGTTATCTTTTCATAAAATCGATGAAATCTTACATAAATTTAAGGAACATTTTCATAAAATCAATAAAAATTCAATTTATGAATTTTTCATAAAATCAATGAACTTTTTCATTGAATCAAGTGACATTTTATTCAATCTATGAACTTTTCATAAAGCCAAGTTATCTTTTCATAAAATCAATGAACTTTTACATGGAATCAATACAACTTTCATTAAAATTATGAATTTTTACATTAAAACGAGAAAACAATACTTACTGGCCCTTTGTGATTGGCTTGCAAGTTCTCAGTGGACTGAGTATCCTTTTCATTCAAATTCTGAGAGCATGCAGGATTTAGAAGATAATTTAGATGAAACAAGTAAAATATGCAGTAAATTCGGCCGGGCCGAACATTGAATACCCTCCACCATTTGGAACGAATTTGGAAATTTTAAAAAAAAAATTAATAAATAAATGAAATAAATAAAAATAAAATCCTTTAAAAATTCTGCCGATATATTGGGGTCTATACGAAGACGTGGACCTATGTAAACCATTACAATTAAATACGAAAATCCGATGAATAATTTATCAAAATATCGATATATCGGGGCCATACGAACGCCTGGACCTGCATAGACAATTTTCTGTCACAGGCTGTAGATCCCATTACGAACTTCAAATACCAAATTTGAAACAATTCCTGTGAATAATGGGGTTAAAATCATCAAAATACCGAATATAGGGAGGTACTGATATATGGGGCCTATACGAAGACGTGGACCTGCACAGACAATTTTTTGTTATAGGCTGTAGTATCGATTACGAACTCTAAATATGAAATTTGAAACAACTCCGGTGAATAATGTCGCTAAAATCATCAAAATACCGAATATTGGGAGGTACCGTTATATGGAGACTATACGAAGACCTGGACCTACACAGACAATTTTTTGTCATAGGCTCTAGTAGCTATTAGGAACTTCAAATATGAAATTTCAAACAATTCCGGCGAATAATGTCGCTAAAATCATCAAAATACCGAATATCGGGAGGTGCCGTTATATGGGGGCTATACTAAGACGTGGACCTGCACAGACAATGTTCTGTCATAGGCTGTAGTATCCATTACGAATTTCAAATGCCAAAATTTGAAACATTTACGGTGAATAATTTCGCTAAAATCATCAAAATACCGAATATTGGGAGGTGCGGTTATATGGGGGTTAATCGAAGACGTGAACCTGCACAGACAATTTTCTGTCATAGGCCGAAGAATACATTACGAACTTCAAATACCAAATTTGAAACATCTCCGGTGAATAATTTCGCTAAAATCATCAAAATACCGAATATTAGGAGGTACCGTTGTATGGGGGCTATACGAAGACGTGGACCTGCACAGACAATTTTCTGTCACAGGCTGTAGTATCCATTACGAACTTCAAATACCAAATTTAAAACATTCACGGTGAATAATTTCGCTAAAATAATCAAAATACCGAATATCGGGAGGTACCATTATATGGGGGCTATACGAAGACCTGGATCTACAAAGACAATTTTCTATCACAGGCTGTAGTATCCATTACGAACTCTAAATATGAAATTTGAAACAACTCCGGTGAATAATGTCCCTAAAATCGTCAAAATACCGAAAATCTGGGGGTACCGTTGTATGTGGGCTATACGATACCGTTGACCTATGGAGACATTTTTCTTGCAGGAGGTCAAGTGCTTAGAAAGAACTTCTAGTATGGATTTTTAGACAATTCCATTGAAAAATGTAGCTATAATCATCAAAATACCGAAAATAGGGAGGTATCGTTATATGGGGGATACCCCCTCTTCTAGGGGCTAAAGTACTCAGAAGGAGTTTTTTTTTTGTGGATTTTCAGTCAATTTCATTGAAACATTTGGCTACAATCATCAATATCAGAGGGTACCGTTATATGGGGGCGATACGATATCGTAGACCGATGTAGCTCACCTTCGAACTTGACCTGCCTGCAGACAAAAGACTGATCTGTACAAAATTTTAGCTTCCTATCTTTATTCGTTTTGACTGTAGCGTGATTACAACAGACCGACAGGTGGACGGATGGACAGGGCTAAATCGTCTTGAATTTTAAGCTGATCAAGAATGATACTTGGTTATGTCTAAAATGATTATTTCGATGAGTTACAAACGGAATGACGAACTGAATATACACTCCATGCTATGTATGGTGGAGGGTGTAAAAATAAAGTTTATGCCTACCAGCCCCACCCATACTTACCTGATTCTCCGTTTCCTTTTCATTTCTCTCAACATTTAACGATTCAGAGCTAATATTTTTATTTTTACCATTCCCCTCCACCGTTTCCTTACTAGGACTGGGGTTGCCATCCCCAGAGACGCCCTGTTGTGTTTCTAGATTTTGTTTATCTTTTTCTGCCTTTTTCAATTCTGTCGATTTTTTCAGTAGCATTTTAAAGTTGTCATGCTTTTTCAAAATTGATTTAATAGTGGGTTTATTAACTTTATTTTGTTTAGTATTCTCAGCCGTTATGGCATCAAAATCCGCCTCATTTAGTGTGTTGTAATAGAGATCTTTACATTTTTCGGAATTTTTCAAAATCGATGGTAGTGGCTGCATATTTGGCTGATGTATCGGCTTGAATTTGGCCCGACCATGGATGTCATTTATAATTGTCGTTTTATTCAGACCAATAATATACGGCTGAGTTTTTTTAAGTCTTGGTGGGGTACCTGGTGGTACTTGCTTGCAAATATTTTCAAAATTTCCAATTGAAGTTATCAAGTGAAAGAGTGGAGGGGTGGGGAAATGTGAGTGGATGTGAGGAGGGCGAGAAGAAAAGCAAGCAACTAGACTTTTTTCTAAAATGCATTACAAAGGGGCAAAAAAAGGGGGGGGGGAGAAATTTTAAAGAATATTATATTATCGGGGCCAACAAGGTGTTAACAATTTTTCAAATACTTTTTTAAGCTTGATCTTCGCATGGATTCTGTTAGTTCAGTTGTTCAAAGGCTCTCAAAAACACCGTCAATTTTGGTATCATACCTTGATAAAATTTCATAGACGGAGGAGACTGATTCAGAATTCTTTAAGATGCCATGGAGGAAGAAATCGAAATTTTTAACTGGCGAAATGTAGGTCAATTTCTTATTATCATCAAGTTTGACGAAGGTATATGATTTCGGATTTTAATCTGTAACTCGAAAAGCTATCACCCTCTTCAAAGAAGCGTCTAGAGAGGGAGGTTCGAGGGGAAAGACACAACCCCAATCTCTTGAAATTATCTTTGAGCTCCGTAAAAGCTTTTGTACAAGAAAACAATATCTTCAGGAATAAGGTCTCTAAGGAATGACTGGGGTACATCAAGTACCTCCAACGGGGATAAGGTGCGAGTATGTATCGTAGCAAAGAAATATTTCACAGCAAATCAAGAAGTTAAAGGGGACGTTTTGGGCATAGTTGGAGTCAGCAATTCGTGCAGGATACGTAGTGTTCTCTCACAGGATCCCATATGCATTGGAAGTTTTATGAGTAAAGAAACTACGTGAACTGATTGAAACCTGTGGATCAAGCTAAGCTATTACTCATTTCCAAGAAGGGTTTAGATAGGGAGATATGGGTGACATAGACAAAGCCTTTAATTTCTAAACTGAAACCTGTCGGTTGCTCACAATGGTCTGGAGAATCAGATGGTCTATGGATTGAAATTTGAGCTTGAGGATCGGGACGGATCGGGAAGAATGTATACATAATTGCATATATTGCAAATCTGTTATACTAGAATAAGGTTTCTGGATAAGGACACCTTCAATGCGGATAAGGTATGAACATGGAAGGAAAAAAGTCCAAGCGGACACTTTGGGTCTGCGTCTGTGAGCCGATTGTGAGAGTCAGGGATTTGTCCACATTATGTACAAGGTCGTCCGTATTCGACGGACCTTTGAGCCCTTTGGGCCCATTCCAATCGACGAGGCTTGTCCGCAGGCAACATTCTTTGCGTCAATTGAATTTTGTACGGGAACAAATGCAAATCAATGCGAATAATCCGTTGTAAAGTGGACCGCGCCAGGCCCAACTGCTGAGAACGGCGTTTTTGGGATGTTCTTGGGGACCTCTCAACACTGGCTGGTACGGCAGCGATATTCTCGGCCGATTGCCTTGGTCGACTTTTATATGGCCTCTTCGGATTAGAAAGAGCGTTACCAGTCGAAAATTTTTCGTATAAAAGTTTAATGGTGTTCTTAGAAGGCGCACTTCTCACATTTTTTAAAAGCCCGTTGAGTTTTCACAATTGACTTCTTCTCATGGTAAAAATCTGCTTGGACTGACGCTTCAAACGCGGTATGTCATTGAGCGATGTGACATCTCTGTCAAAAGTTATGGCGTTGCCAGATGGGTCCGTCGAATATGGACAACCCTTTAAAGGATAACCTCTATCCTGGATTATATATTTTTTTTCCAAAGCCTTCTAGTGCTTTGAAAGTAAATTTTTAGGAATAATTCTTGTAGGACATATGGTCTTGAATATTTTAAGAATGTTATTCGAAGGATTTCTGGGTTTGGCTGGAAACATGATGGATGTTTTAAAACCAGTTAAAAAGTATCAGTCGGTTTTGCTCACATATGTGTACCCTCAGCCAATGTTCGATTATTTAAATATACTTAGACTTCTGTTCTGATTATTCAAATTGTTGACCCTCTATGGAGTAGGTTCCGAAGGAATGGACCAATATTGTCCATTTTGTATCGGACCCAAATAAATATGATATAAATATTGCGATGAGCCATGTTTATACTACATTGGTTAGTTCCTTCACTTTATATGAGATAGGTGATAATTTTTAGAAAATGGTGAATTGTGCGTGAGGTAACAGATAGGGTCGACCGAAATATTCCGGAATGAGCAAAATTATAAGAAAATCGAGCATTTATTTTCAATTTTATGTAAAATCATAAATTCCAATAAGTTGCATATTCATATCAGGTTTCTGGCTGAGAGACATATATTTAGATATGGCAAGTTGTAAAGAATCGCGGACCTGTTTCATAATTTATGACAGATAAAAGTATTGAAAATTGTGTCTTTTTGTGGGTGAGGTAATAGAAGGGGTTCGCAGATATATATCATCTTCACAACAAATCTGATGTTAGCCAAAATCTTTGGATGTGTGAAATTTGATGAGAGTTGGATGTTTATCTCTGTATCTTTGAGAGTTTTTCAAAAATTTTGAATCCTATGTGGGGGAGGTACCAAAAGAAATGGTCCGAAATGTAGTATGAGAGATCTTGTGTTGATGGAAATATTGAGATATACCAAGTCTTGAATGGAATCGGATGTTAATTTCGCTTTTCATGAGTTTCACGGGTATTTAAAAATGTCAGCCATTGTGGGGGAGGACCAGAAGGAGTGAACCGATATATCCCATCTTCACAACAGATCTTTTGTTAGTGGAAATAATGGGATGTGTGAAATATAAAGAGAATCTGATGCTTATTTTGGCTATTGTGATCGTTTTGGTTATTTAAAACGTTGACCCTTTGTGGGGTAGGTACCAGAAGGAATGGTCCGATCGCTACTGTTTTTATAACAGATCTTGTGTTGATAGAAATATTGAGATGTGCCAAGTCTTAATGGAGTCGGATAATAATTTCGCGTTTTATGAGCTCTATGGATATTAAAATTTCGACTTATTGTGGTTGAGGTACCAGAAGGAGTAGACCGATGTTGTCCATTTTCGCACCTAGCCTAGCACTGATAAAAATATTAGGATTCGCAAAGTTGGAGCAAAATCGGATTATCCTTTCTTTGTCTGTGCACTAAATTATTTTCTTTGAAAATTTTGTCATTTTGTGTGGGAGGTACCAGAAGGATCTTGGGTTAATAAAATTATTGGGATGTGTGAAATTTAAAGACAATTTTATAAGAGTTATAATTATTCCAAATTTTGATCCTTTGTAGGGGAGGTACTTGATGGAATGGGCCGATATAGTCCATTTTCGCACCTGATCTAGCACAGATGCAAATTATGGGATTCTCAAGTTGGAGCAAAATAGGATTATCTTTCTCTTTCCCTGCAAAAAATATATTTTTTGAAAATTTCAACCTTTTGTGGGTAGGTACCAGAAGGAGTGGACCGATATTGTCCATCTCCGAACCCGATCTAAGTTTAACAATAATAATAGGATATACGAAGTTTGGATGACTACACTTTTATTTGAAATGGAAAAAGCAAAACGTGCGCTCGGACATAATCCCCACGGTCATAATCCCCATTGCAATTGTGGGGATTATGTCGTTTTTTTCGGTCATAATCCCCATAATAAAGTGAAGAGTATACCGTGTGCTGTGGGGACTACTTACAAAAATGTATTAAATGTAGTAAACTTGAGTTCGCGTTAGTCGGTGAGCGGACATACCCAGAGGTAAAAGTTTTTGGACGTACCCATTATTATGGGGCTATGTCGGCTACGTTCTGGGGTTTATGACCGTTTTTTTTTTCTTGGACATAATCCCCATTCCATTATGGTGGTTCGGTCATAGTCCCTAGAAAGTAGCGGACATAACCCGATAAATTTTTTCCGAAAAATGTCTCAAGGGCGTACATTTTAGGAACATTTTTCCGTCTTTTGTACTTTTTAGATAATTTTTAATTAATTTTTTAAATTTTTATAAATAGTTTTCAAGAGATTGTATATTTGGGAATATATTTCAAAGGACATGAATTTTTAAGAATATTGTTCGAAGGTCAAATATGAGATTTTTAGAAAAATTTTCAAAGGACATCGATTTTTTAGAAATATTTGTAGAAGGTATGGAATCGTTTAGAAACATTTTAAAATAAAGTGAATATTTTGGGAAACATTTTAAAGGATGTGGATTCATAGTGTTTTTTTTAAGGACTCGCAATTTTTGGAATTTTCCTAAAGGAGTTGGTTTTTTGAATTTTTTCAAAGGATGTGGATTTTTAGATACATTTTTAAAGGTCGTGAATTTTTGAGGAATGTTTGTAAAAGGTTTTTTATTTATTTATTTTTTTTTGGAAAATGTTTCAAAAACATTAAATTTAAAAAAAAGGCTAAAGGATATTGATTTTTTAAAAAATCCGTAATGATTTTTTAAAACTTTTGGTAGAGGTGGTTTGTTAGAATTTTTTTTCAAAGGATGTGGATTTTTAGATAAATTTTTAAATGTGGTGAATTTTTGAGAAATGTTTGTAAAAGGTTTTTTAATTTTTTTTTTTGGAAAAATGTCTCAAAAACGTTAAATTAAAAAAAGTTTAAATGATATTGATTTTTTAAACTTTTGGAATAGTTTTAAAAGAGAGAGTAAAGGTGCTGAATTTTTGAGGAATGTTTGTAAAAGGTTTTTTTAATTTTTTTTTTGGAAAAATGATTCAAAAACAATAAATTTAAAAAAAGGTTTAAAGGATATTGATTTTTTTAAACTTTTGGAATAGTTTTAAAAGAGTCGGATTTTTTAGAGAGATATGAATTTAGATATATTTTTAAAAGGCGTGGATTTTATAGGAATTTTTTTGAAATGTTTGAATTTTTTGAAAATATGTTTCAAAAACGTTACATTTTTAGAAATAATTTTAAAAATATCAATTTTTAAAAAAATCTATATTCTTTAAAAATAATATAAAGGATATGGATTACTTGGGAACAATTGAAAGTTTAATATTCCTAAGAATATTAAATTAACATAGAATTATAAATTCTATGAAATAAATAAAAAAATGATTTTTTTTGGAAGATATGTAAAATAATTTGCATTTTATGGGAATATATAAAAAAATATGTTAAAGGATATGGACTTTTTAGGTATTTTTTCAAGGACATCTAGCGTTCGGTGTTACGGTGAACGAATGTGCCTCGATTTTCTTTGTGAATACAGTTGGGAATAGTATTTATTACCATATTTGCATCCTCCTCGGATTGAGGTTTCTTTTGTGCATTCTTTGCGTTTTAGAAAAAATAGAAATTATAAAATAACAAAATACAACAACACAGACAACAAAAGCGGTTAGTAAAAACACCAAGCTAAGACATGCATATCAAACCAAAACAAAAATTTCAAAATCCATTTTCTCAAACTTACCAATTGAACTTTTTTCGAGATACCCGGTGTACTGGGCGCCCTCTGTACCGTCGGGGTGCCGGGTGTCATCATGTCACCGGTACTCGTTGCAGCCGATATCGAACCCGGCTCCTGGCCATCACTGGGCTGAACATCTTGTAGGGTGGTTGATTTCTTGAAAATGGTCTCGAAGGCATTGCGGATGCGCTGCTCGGCGCCGGTTATGGTGGAATATGGCGTTATGCTGGGACTATTCAGCGAGGAAGGTGTAAAAGCTTTAAGATTAAATGAGTTTGTCTTTTTGAGAATGGATTTACGCGGCTGGAGCGTATTGTTGAGGGTTTCCTGTTTCTTTTTGGGTGGCAACATTTCGTCGTTGGCTATTTGACGCAGACTGAGAATGTCAGGGGCGGGCAGGACTTCGAAACGGGATGGACGGCGCATACGCTGTTCGGCCTCCTGCTTTTTGCGTTCCTCTTCGCGTATGCGTTCCTCAGCCTCCTTTTTCCATTTCTGGGCTACCTCCATGCGTTTTTCACGGCCAATGTGTTTTTCGATCATTTTGATGAGTTCATAACGTTGCACCGACCCCAGCAGAATCATATTTTCCGGACTATCGACCAGGGGAAGGGAACGCAGCGTCTTGTTGCTCTTCAGTACTTCTTTGAGACGTTGATAGGTGATACCTTGCCATATGTACTTGACATCGCGCACCATAAAGTCCTCCACATAGATGCTATACATACCCGAACTGGATGGCAGTAGATCGGGCAGATATGGCAACTTTTTGATAAGTATAATACTATCATACATAGAGGGCTGGAGCAGGGCCGCAATGGCATTGGCTATCAGGACAGCTATCATCACCGGCACGACGTGCGTAATTTGGCCGGTCATTTCGAACACGATTACCGCCACTGAGACCGTATGCGTGACAGCGCCCGAAAATGCAGCAGCACCTACCACAGCATAGCCGCCAGGGTTGATGGGCGAGAGGCGACCGCCATAGCGGACACCGTTAGGGAACCACAAATGCATGCTTTCACCTATCAAACGGCCCAAGCCGGCACCAATTTTAAAGACGGGTATGAAAATGCCGGAGGGTACGGGTATCGTCGAGGCAATGATGGAGAAAACGAACTGGAGGGAGGGAAGGGGAATTGGATTAGAAGTTATTTTGAATTTTCAAATTATATCCTTACCGTAAAAATAACATAGCATGTCAGATTGATGAATACATTCGTATAGGGTGTCACCCAATGGGTTACAATGGCTGCCTGCTCCACGGTCAAATCATCGCGAGACCACGTGAAATTACTAAACAACTGGGTCACCTGTTCATGGGTACCCAATTCACCGGCAATAAATTGGCCCGTTCCCAAGGGAAAAGATATGGTTGATACCAACAAAGCCAAGAAGCCTGGGTACAGGAAGCGACTGAAAAGGGAAACGGGAGAAAAATTAGAAAATAAATTCAAGGACCAAAGTTAATCAGGAGAAAGTTCTGGGGTTTCAAGGATGAATGAACTCTGTAAAATATTCAAAGGACTTTTTTCCAGGAGAACCTTTGGAACTTTTGGAACCCTTTTCTCTATAGAAAATATTTTCCAAGGTCTGAGGATACATTTTTCGAAAGAAAAAAAATCATCAATGCAAAAAATTGAAGGACCTAATAAATAATTCCAAGGATTTTTTTCCAAGGAAACCTTTGTTCATCCTCTGTGGACGTTTTTCCCTTAAGGACCTCTTTTCTCTACAAAAAATATTTTTCCAAGGTCCGAGAATAAACATTTCAAAAGAAAAAAAAAATCATCAATTAAAAAAATTCAAGGATCAAGGACCAAGGTCCCTCAGAACATTTTTTTAACTTCTGTGGACATTTTTCTCTTAAGGACCTCTTTTCTCTACAGAAAATATTTTTTTAAGGTCTAAGGAAAAAATTTCCCAAAGAAAAAAAAACTATCATTTCAGAAAATTCAAGGATCAAGGTTCCTCAGAAGAAAGTTCTGGGGAACCATCGATTAAAGAACTCTGTAAAAAAATTCCAAGACCAAAATTCCAAGGGAAACATTTTTCATCTTCTGTGGAACTTTTTCCTAAGGACCCATTTTCCCTATAGAAAATATTTTTCCAAGACCTGAGGATAATTTTTTTCAAAAAAAGAAATTGCCATCAGGAACTGCGGATAATTTCCTTGTTAAAACAGATACTCGAAAGAATGTTCTGGGGAATCAAGGACGTATGCACTCTAATAAACAATTCCAAGGACAAATTGTTTCATCTTCTGTGGACATTTTTTCCCCTAAGGACTTCTTTTTTCTATAGAAAATGTTTTTCCTAGATCTGAGGATAAATTTTCAAAAGAACAAAATATCAATTCAAAAATGCAAGGATTAAGGACCAAGGTTCCTCAGAAGATAGTTCTGGGGAACCTAATATGAATAAACACTGATAAAAATTCCAAGGACATTTTTTCCAGGGAAAAGGTTGTTATCTTCAGTGGACCTTTTTTCCCTTGGGACCCGATTCTGATGACACTTTTTCCAAGGAAACATTTTTTCAGGAGGAAAGGTTGTCATCTTCTGCGGTCCTTATTTACCCTAAGGACACATTTTCTGTATAGAAAATATTTTTCCAAGGCCGGAGTATATTTTTTTCAAAAGAGAAAATTTCGTTAGGAACTGAAGATAGTTTTCTTGTTAAAACAGATCCTCGTAAGATAGTTCTGGGGAACCAAAGACGTATGAACTCTGATAAACAATTCCAATGACATTTTTTCTAAGGGAACATTTTTTTATCTTCTGTAGAACTTTTTCTTCCAAGGACCTCTTTTTTTCCAAAAAAATATTCAAGGCCTGAGAAAAAATTGTTCCAAAGTGAAAGAATCCATCAATTCAAAAAACTTAAGGATCAAGGACCAAGGTTCCTCTGGGGAACCAATGATGAATGAACTCTGATAAAAAAGGTTCTTTTTTTCAAGAAAAGTTTGTCATCTTCTGCCGACATTTTTCTCCGAAGGACCTCTTTTCTCTAAAAAAATTCCAAGGCCTGAGGATAAATTCTTCAAAAGAAGATAATAATGAAGATAATTTCCATCAGGAATTGAAGATAATTTTATTCTGAAAGCAGATCCTTGAAAGAGAGTTCTGGGGAACCAAGGACGTATGAACTCTAATAATCAATTCCAAGGACATTTTTTCCAAGGGAACATTTTTTCATCTTCTGTTGACCTTTTTCTCCCAAGGGCCCGTTTTCTCTACAGAAAAAAAAACCTGAGGATAAATTTGAAAAAATAAAAAAAATATCAATTAAAAAATTCAAGGATTAAGGACCAAGGTTCCTCAAAAGAAAGTTTTGGGGAACAAATGATGAATGAACTCTGATAACAATTCCAAGGACCTTTTTTCCAAGAGAAAAGGTCGTCATCTTCTGTGGACATTTTCCCCTAAGGACCTCTTTTCTCTACAGAAAATATTTTTCCAAGGCCTAAGGATAAATTTTTCAAAAGAAGATATTGCCATGAGGAACTGAAGATAATTTTATTCTAAAACATATCCTCGGAAGAAAGTTCTGGGAAACCAAGGACCTATGAACTCTAATAAACAAGTCCTAGGACATTTTTTCCAAGAAACATTTTTCTTCTGTGGACATATTTTCCCCCAAGGACCTCTTTTTTCTTAGATAATATTTTTCCAAGGTTTGAGTATAAATTTGTCGAAAGGACCTGTGGACCTTTTTTTCCTAAGGACCCATTTTCTTTATAGAAAATATTTTTCCAAGGCCTGAGATAAATTTAAAAAAAAATCAAGGATCAAGGACCAAGGTTCCACAGAAGAAAGTTCTGGGGAACCAATCATGAATGAACTCTGGAGAAAAGGTTGTCATCTTCTGTGGACCTTTTTTCTCTAAGGACCCAATTCCAAGGAAATTTTTTCCAGGAAAAAAGGTTGTTATCTTCTGTGGACCTTTTTTATCCTAAGGACCTTTTCCCTGTAGAAAATATTTGTCCAGGGTCTGAGTATACATTTTTCAAAAGAAGAAATTTCTTGTTAAAAAGTTCTTTGTAAGATAGTTCTGGGGAACCAAGGAAGTGTGGACTCTAATAAACAATTCCAAGGAAACATTTTTTCATCTTTTGTAGACTTTTTTCCCATGGACCTCTTTTCTCTACAGAAAATATTTTTCCAAACTTTGAGGTTAACATTTTCAAAAAAGAAAAAAAAATGATCAATTCAAAACTTCAAGGATCAAGGACTTAGGTTCCGCAGGAGAAAATTCTGGGGTCCAAGGACCCCTTTTCCAGGAGAAAAGGTTCTCATATTCCGATATCACAGGAATTATTTCAAATTTGGCATTTGAAGTTCGTAATGGATACTCAGCCTATGACAAAAAATTGCGTATGCAGGGCCACGGTCTTCGTATAGCCTCCATGTAACGGTACCTCCCAATATTCGGTATTTTGATGATTTTAGCGAGATTATTCACCGGAATTGTTTCAAATTTGGTATTTGAAGTTCGTAATGGGTACTACAGCCTACGACGGAAAATTGTCCGTGCAGGTCAACGCTTTCGTATAGCCCCCATATACCGGTACCTACCGATATTCGGTATTTTGATGATTTTAGCGACATTATTCACCGGAATTGTTTCAAACTTTGTATTTGAAGTTCGTAATGAATACTGCAGCCTATGTTAGGAAATTGTCTCTTCAGGACCACGTCTTCGTATAGCCCCCATATAACGGTACCTGCCGATATTCAGTATTTTGATGATTTTAGCGACACTATTCACCATAATGGTTTCAAATTTGGTATTTGAAGTTCATAATGGATGCTACAGCCTGCGACGGAAAATTGTCTGTGCAGGTCCACGTCTTCGTATAGGCCCCATATAACGGTACCTCCCGATATTCGGAATTTTGATAATTTTAGCTACATTATTCACCGGAATTGTTTCAAATTTTGTATTTGAAGTTCGTAATGGGTATTACAGCCTAAGACAGAAAATTGTCTGTGCAGGTCCAGGTCTTCGTATAGCCCCTAAATATCGGTACCTCCCTATATTCGGTATTTTGATGATTTTAGCTACATTATTCACCGGAATTGTTTTAAATTTGGTATTTAAAGTTCGTAATGCATACTTCAGCCAAAGATAGAAAATTGTCAGTGCAGGTCCACGCCATCGTATAGCCCCATACAACGGCACCTCCTCATATTCAGTATTTTGACGATTTTAGGTACAATATTTAACGAAATTGTTCGAAATTTGAAGTTCGTAATGGATTCTAAAGTCTATGACAGAAAATTGTCTGTGCAGGTTTAGGTCTTCGCATAGGCCCCATATATCAGTATTTCCCAATATTCGGTATTTTGATGATTTTAGCGACATTATTCTCCGGAATTATTTCAAATTTGATATTTGAAGTTCGAAATGGGTACTACAGTCTATGACAGAAAATTGTCCGTGCAGGTTCTCATTTTGGTACAGCACCCATATAATGGCACCTCCCGATATTCGGCATTTTGATGATTTTATCGACATTATTCACCGTAAATGTTTTAAATTTTGTATTTGAAGTTCGTTATGGATACTGCAGCCTTGGTATAGCCTTCATATAACGGAACTTCCGTATATTCGGTATTTTGATGATTTTAGCAATTTTTTTTTCGTTTCGCATTTTCAATTTTCGTATTTTTATGACAAAAATTACCAATGCAGGTCCTTATATAGCGGCTACATTCGCTATTTTTATTTTTGTAATTTTGACGGATTTTATTTTTTTTTTTTTTGAAAATTGCCAAATTCGTTCCAAATGTTGGAGGGTATTCAAAGTTCGCCCTGGATTTTTAAATTGTTTTTTTCTCAAAAAAAAATTTTGTTCAAGGTCTGAGGATATTTTTTTTTTTTGGAAATCAGATCCCTTTTTCTGGCATTATTTGGAGGATTACTCACTTCTTTTGGAGGAACTTGTTCATTTTCTTATTCGAGCGCATAAATAGGACGTATCTTCGATGTACCCAGACATAAGCGGCTCCGCCAAGGCCACAAACGACACTGAAATATAAAAGAAAATTTATTATTAAAAAAAGAAGGTTGTTTTAGGAAACCCCTAAAGATGTCCTTTCTTTAGAAAAATTCCCTTTACTTTTGGAAAATTCTCATTCTTTCGACAATTTTTTATTCAAACCAGCTTCAATAGTTTTCCTTTGGGAAAATTCCTATTAAGCTTGTCTGAATGTGAATTTCTGAGATTAGAATTTTGGCAACTTACCCCATCAAGGCAAACACGAACAACTCCTGAGGATCGAATGGAAATTCCGTTGTGAAATTCGTTAAGAACACTGCCCTCACTGTGTCGGCATTTTGGAACCAAACAGCCAGCAAACGAAAAACTGTAGCACCACAGACGGCGGCGAAGAAGCCGCGCCAATAGTTACGCACCGCAAAATAGGTGGTTGTTACTTCTATACTAAATAATACACCTGGAGGATGAAGAAGAAATACCATTAATTTCGAAACAACCATATTAAAGATGTTATCGCCACTCACCGCCCACTGGCGCCGCAAAACACGCCCCCACACCCACTGCACAGGCAGCGGCCAACATTTCCGAGTTGCGCGACTCGTTCTCATAGATACCTTGGAATGATGTTACTAGCTTACTTAATAATTGTGCTACAATACTTGCTATATGTACGAATGGACCCTGGATTGTGGGTGGGTGGTGATGGTGAGGATCAGCAAAAAGAGAAAAATCAAATAAAAAAATTGTGTAATGTTGGCAACCCTGTGTTCTTTGTACTTTGACAATTTTAATACTTACTTCCTTTCCTAATGGCATACCACTGCCCAAAGTTGCCGTTAAACCAACAATTTTGGCCACTAATGTCTTAAAGGTTAAATACTCTTTTAGGGCCACCCCTCGCAGAATGGTTTTCATTTCGGGTATACCGGAACCTAAAGATATGGGGAGGGGGAGATATATATGTAATTTTTTTGGTTGGGTTTAATTAAAATTAACTTAGAGAACTAAACGAAAAATGGCTTAAGGATTAGTAAGGCGAAGGGCGGAGAAAGTTTGAGAAAAAATTGGATGCCTTTCTGTAGTGGGAGTAGAAAACTTTTTTTCGTCGGTACCGACAAAAATTAGTAACCTTCATGAAAAATTTAAATAAAACTTAACAACATTGTTTCTACCGCTAGGCTTAACCTTCCAAAAAATTTTGAATTTTATATATCGTTTTTTTTAAGTCCGAATTTATATAAGGCATGTTTTCTGGCGGCAATTCTTTGTTTGCAAGAGAAAGGGGTAAGGGGAAAACAATTGCTCGTACTGGAAATTTTCTGGTGTTTATTATTTATTAATTTTTTACAAAAAATAAAAATAAAGAAATAAATAAAAATTGCAGAGAAGACAATGATGAAAAACAAAATTGCATTATATAAATGCAGGAGGCAAGTACAAAAGAGAACGATAAAAATTGCTGCCAGTAAACTTGCCTAATATAAATCAGGACTAATCAGCTGAAAATCGACATTCGATATTTTACTTTTAATCATAAATCGTCCAAAATCGATTTCCTTTTTAATTCTTTTAATGTGGAGCTTAGTGCTTTGAGGGAATTAATTTAAATAACAGAAATATTAAATGCTGCATACTTTTAGGCTCATTTAATAGATAGTCGATTTATATATCCCTAGTCCTTTCTAAGGGAGACATCTTATTCCTTGAAGCCTGTAGCATTAATTTTCTATGAAACTAAAGGGGGTTTTTTATTAGGTTTTTTATACCCGCCACCATTTTATATAAATATCCGTTTGTAAATCCTCAAAATACTCTTGATAGACCCTACATAGTATACATATTCTGGACCAGAGTAAAATCCTGGAAGCGTAAGTCCTTTCGAACGAATTGAGATAGAAGGCTAAAATTGTACACACGTTAGTAGACAGGTTAAGTTCGTAAATGGGACATGTCGGTCTACGTTTTTGTATAGCCCCCATACAACGGTACAGCCCGATATTCGGTATTTTCATGATTTTAGCGACATTATTCATCGCATTTTTTCTAATTTCGTATTCAAAACTTGTAATGGGGTAGTAAAACCTATGACAGAAAATTGTTTATGCAGGTCCACGTCTTCATATAGCCCCTTCCAATATTCCGTATTTTGACGATATTAGCGACAATTTTTTTTACCGGAATTGTTTCAAATTTCGTTTAAGTTCGTAATGGATACTACAGCCTATGACAAAAATCGCGTATGCAGGCCACCACATAACGGTTCCTCCCAATATTCGATATTTTTATGATTTTAGAGACATTATAGATCGGAATTGTTTCAAATTTCGCAATTAAAGTTCGCAATATGTTCGGCAAGCAATGACAGAAAAATGTCTATGCAGGTCTTCCTATAGTCCGCATATAACGGTACCTTTCGGTATTCTGTATTTTAATGATATTAGCCACATTATTCACCGGAGTTGTGTTAAATTTCATATTTGAAGTTCGAAATCGGTACTAAAGCATATGACAAAAAATTTCTTATGTAGATTCACATCTTTAAATAGCTCCTATATAACGGATTTCATTTATATGGTATTATTCGACGGATTTTTTTTTGAAAATTTTCAAGTTCTCGCCAAGTGATGAAGGGTATTAAGTTCGACGGGGCCGAACTTCGCTGCTTTTTTACTTGTTCGTGTTTGTTTTACTATTAATAGATTTTATAGAGTTTATAGCTCTCATTATGACTGCATTAACAGATCTCTCTCACTCACACTCGTAATTATAATTTCTCTCCTATTTGTTGTAATTTCGAAATTAGATGGCAATCCATCAAAATCATCATTTCAATAAGAAACTGGCAACGGTGGTACTATTTTGTCCCCTTTCAAATTCGCCTAGTAACAAGTAAAAAGGGCTTTTTATACCCTGTATATAATTATAAAAAGAGTAGGAGAGAACAGTTCTACTGAGAACTTCAATTGTCAAGTTTCATCTAATTTGATTGGAAATTTCGGCAGAAACCTTCAAAATACCGAAAATCGGGAGGTATATACCAATTAGTGGACCTGTAGAGATTTTTTTGCAATGGGAGAACTTACCTACCAAGAACTCCAAATGATTTGGTTGGAAATTATGGCGGAAACCCTTAAAAATACCGGAAAGCTAGAGATACCGTCATATTGAATCGGAGGTACTTGCTGTAAGTGCCAAGATTCAGTTAATTTGGGCTGATTTAGCCATTTGATGTACAATGCAACTGAAATCGGATAAAGATATATATGGGATCTATATCCAAATCTGAACCGATTTTGCAAAATTTTAGGCACTTATTTCTGAGCCGCATCTGATATTTGGTACCAAAGGTCATTGTTGTGGAGTGCATATTACACATGTAAGGTACTAAAAATCCCAATCAGGATCAACCATATAAATGGGAGCTATAGCTATATCTGAACCGATTTTTACCAATTTTTATTTACTAGCTTCTAGACTGAATTCCGTCGGAAGTGTAGTCCATTTGGGCTGCTATTGTCATTTGGTGAACAATAAATCTGAAATCGGTTAAAGATATATGTGGGGGCTTAAACACCAAATCGAATGAAACATATATATGGGAGTTATAGCTATATCTGAACAGATTTTCACTAAATTCGATGTACTGGCTTCTAGACTGAATTCGGTTGGATGTGCCAAAATTCAGGACTGATATTGACCATTTGGTGCACAATCAACTCGAAATCGGTTGAAGATATATATTTGGGAGCTATATCTAAATTTGAACCGATTCTCACCAATTCCAATAGGGTTCGCCCTTGGGCCAAACAAATATTTTTTGTAAATAAATGCGACCTATATTTTGTTCACAAAAATAAATGGACAGACGGACAGACAGACGAACTCACATTCATAAATCGACATAGAAAGTGATTCTATGCAGATAATATCTATCTTGTTTCCTTTTGTCTGTTACAAAAATGCACAAAGACATAATGCGGACGGACGGACATCGACATGGAATTTTATGCTGATCAAGAATATTTATACTTTTTGGAGTCTAAAATGAATATTTCGAGGTGGTTTAATCGGAATGACAAATTCAAATTTATGGTGGAGGGTATAAACATTATTTACTCAAATTATACACCTCGAGTATGATTCCCCCTGGGTACTATTATAAGACGAATATGTTAACTTAACTCCACTATTTTCAAAAAAAGTTTCCATATTCCGATGTAAAATCTATTGTATAATAATGTTTTTAAACTTTATAACATTCCATGCATTTATTCGAGGGATTATTAAATTATTAATTTATGGCAACTCTGTGCTACAGAGGTTTGTAAGTGGGAGAGAATTCGAGTTCAAGTTGGAGTTTGTTAGAAAAAAACTTGTTAATAAACTTATGTGAGTAGGTGAGAAACAAACCATTAAAGTAAAGTAAGTAAGTAAAAAAATTTACAAGTTGTTTTAATAAAAATTACAATTATATTAAAAATTTTGAAAATATTAAAAAAATTGAATTTTGTGAAAATACTTTTAACTACCAAATGTATATTTAACTAAATATGGCGGAACAAGCCTTACTTAGCAGTACTTTAATGAAATGTTTTGGAGAGAAATTGAAATTATTTAATGGATGAATTTCTAGTACATATGAACATGGTTATAGTTAGCTGAGTGAGAATGATTTTCTTTTGAGATTAAGTGGGGTACACACAATCAGTTTTGAATGACATTTTTATACCCTACACCACAGGGTGGTCAGGGTATTATGTCTTTGTGCATTTGTTTGTAACAGACAAAAGGAAACGAGATACGCCCATAGCTCCTTTTGATGATCTGCATAGAATCACATTCTGAGTCGGTTTATGCATGTCCGTCCGTCCGTTTGTCTGTCCGTTTGTCCATGTAATTTTGTAAACAAAGTACAGTTCGCATTTATTGCCCTATCCAGATGAAATTTTGCACAAATCATTTGTTTGCCCCAAAGACGAACCCTATTGAAATTGGAGATAATCGGTCAAAATTTAGATATAGCTCCCATATATATCTTCGTCCGATTTGCTTTTTATGGTGCACCAAACGTGTAATATCAGTCCGAATAGTATGGAATTTTGTACGTACGATCAGATTGGACCTGAAAATAAGTATGCCAAATTTGATAGAAATCGGTTCAGATATAGCTATAGCTCCCATATATATATTGTTCTTCCGATTTGTTATTTTTGTCCTCCGCAGCCGTAATATGCACTCGGTAACAACAATATTTGGGGAAATACATCAAATACAGCTCAGAAATACATTTGCTAAATTTTATCGAGATCGGTTCGGAGATTTGGATATAGCTCCCATATATAACTTCGTCCGATTTACCTTTGATTGTGCACTAAACGCCTAATATTTGCCCAAATGGGATGAAATTTGGCACATACGACCAAATTGAGTCTAGAAGCTGGTATGTCAAATTTGGTGAAGATCGGATCAGATATAGCTATAGCTCCCATATATATATTGTTCTTCCGATTTGTTATTTTTGTCCTCCGCAGCCGTAATATGCAGTCTGTAACAACAATATTTGGGGAAATATATCAAATACAGCTCAGAAATACATTTGCTAAATTTTATCGAGATCGGTTCGGAGATTTGGATATAGCTCCCACATATATAACTTCGTCCGATTTACCTTTGATTGTGCACCAAACGTCTAATATTTGCCCAAATGGGATGAAATTTGGCATTTACGACCGAATTGAGTCTAGAAGCTAGTATGTCAAATTTGGTGAAGATCGGTTCTGATAAAGCTGTAGATCCCATATATACTGTTCATCCGATTTGTTATATTTATTACCCCCAGCCGTAATATGCACTCCGTAACAACGATATTCAGGGAAATATATCAAATACAGCTCAGAAACACACTTGCTAAATTTTATAGAGATCGGCTCAGATTTGGATATAGCTCCCATATATAACTTCGTCCGATTTACCTTTGATTGTGCACTAAACGTCTAATATTTGCCCAAATCGGATGAAATTTGGCATTTAGGACCGAATTGAGTCTAGAAGCTAGTATGTCAAATTTGGTGAAGATCGGTTCAGAAATAGCTGTAGATCCCATATATACTGTTCATCCGATTTGTTATATTTATTACCCCCAGCCGTAATATGCACTCCGTAACAACGATATTCAGGGAAATATATCAAATACAGCTCAGTAATATCTTTGCCAAATTTTATGGAGATCGGTTCCGATTTGGCCCCCATACATATTTTTATCCGATTTCAAATTAATTGTGCACCAAATGGGCAATACAAGTCCGAATTTAAAAGATACAAATGGTTCGGCATAATTAGTTCTTTGAACTTCAAATTATAAATATAATCATAGCGTGTCTGATTGAATTCTCCCATAAAACATTTTAATTGTTATGCGGAGCTCTACTAAATTTGCAAAGTGGTGTAGGGTATCATAAAGTCGGCCCGCCCGACTTTAAGACTTTCTTTACTGGTTTTAAATTAAAAACAAGTCTCGAAATTGAATGCTAATGGATGGTAACTTAATTTTATGAAAGCTGTCATTTGAAACAGATAGTGTGTCCCCTACTTTAAATATATTTTAGCATGCAATGTGGACCTCAAAGCAATGGCGTTTATACATGCGCCCGCATAAATCATGTTTTACCAAAAAATGAAGCAAAATATGAAAAACTCAAACTTACCTATACTCTGCGGTGCTATCAGATGTACAAAGCCCGCCGAGAACAATATCAGACAGACGGGCAATGAGACCCAGGCAAAATACTGGGCTATGGGCTGAGATGTTAGATCGCGATACAGCCAAACACGGGCTAATTTCAAAAAAAAAAAAAAAAAAAAAAAATTATGAATTAATTAAAAATTCTAAAATATTTATTTTTTTTTTCGAAATTAAAACTCACCATTTGTACATATCGATATACCCTTGTCCATGATATACGACAGCAGGGCCATAATTATGCCCAACAGGGCCAAAAACACCCAGTCTTCGCCTAGGCGGGCAAATGTGTGTTTCCATATCCATGATGAGACTTTAAATGCACGAGACTCACGTTTCCCTAGGAGTTCCTGTAAATATTTCCCAGGACTGCTGCTTTATAATCAATTTGTTTGGAATAGGTGTGTGGGTGGTACTAGTTTTTTTTTGGTTAATTTATAATGGGAAAGGTGGTTAATGGGGGGTGTGTTTTTTATAGCTAAAGGAGTATGGCAGAGAAGCACAGTGATTTGGGGGGTTTTTTGTAAAGAAAATATTTGTGGAGGATATATTACGCGTAGACAATAGGCTCTTAGGAGAAATGAACTAGGCTTTTCCTAATGGACTTTCATAAGGAAAATTCGTACCAAAAATGATACTAAAAAGGACTAAAAACAGGGTCTTAGAATTGAAACTCGGAAAAATTTGCCTGTAGACCACCATTGTTGCGAGGTATCAGAGAAGGTGTTCTGTTTTGGAAATTTGTACGAAAATAGATAGTAAAAAAGTACTAGATATAGTACTTTTAGGGTAAGAATTCTGGATATTTGGCGAAAGGACGAGGTTTTTAAAAATGCCTTCTAAAACGTACTAAAACTATGGGCTAAAAAAAACTTTACTCTTGGGATTGGAATTTTCATAAAAAGGTACTAAACGTATAAAGAAACTGGGCTTTTTGACAAAATTGGTACTATAATAGGTACCAAAAAGTACTAAATATTGAGACAGAATTCTGAAACTTAATAGTTATTCTTAAAATTAAGCCTAAACCTTTTTGGTGGGAAGGTTATATTTTTTTTTGGAAAATTTTGAACGAAAAGGTACTATTTTGGGGCAAGACTCCATACATTTTGTGCTACAATCTTTAAATTTAGAGTGAAAGTCGCTGTTGATACAAGACATCAGATTAAATTGTATTAATTGTATTAATTGTATTTTTTTAAATTCGTACTAAAAAGGTACCAAAAAGTACTAAATTTTGTATTTTCGGGATAGAATTCTGAAATTTAGTATTTATTTTTAAATTTATTAAAACTAAGCATTTGACCATTCATTGATGGAAATGTGGTAATTTTTTAGAAACCTTGTACTAAAAGGTACTACTGGTACTAAAATCTATGTTTTGGGGTAAAACTTTATAATTTTTTGTTAGAATCTTCAAATTTTTACTGAAGGTCACGGTAGATACAAGAATCAGATAAAATTGTGTTTTTGGAAGTTAGTACTAAAAAGTTACCAAATATGTACTAAAAGTACTAAATATTGTATTTACGAGACATAATTCTGAAATTTAATATTTATTCCCAAAATTCTTAAAATTAAGCATTTGATTAGTTTTTGGTGGGAAGGTTGTAACCTAACGGATAAAACTCTATACTTTCGGTCCTACAATCTTCAAATTTAGATTTAAGGTCACGTTTGATACAAAACATCAGATTACATTGTGTTTTAAGGAAATTCGTTCTAAAAATGTACCATATATGTACCAAATAGTACTAAATTTTGTATTTTCGAGATAGAATTATGAAATTTAGTATTTATTCTTAAAATTCTTAAAACTATGCATTTGACCACCTATTGGTGGAAATGTTGTATTTTTTTGGAAATTGTCTACTAAAATGTACTAATGGTACTAAAACCTATATTTTGGGGAAAGACTCTATACATTTTGTGCTACAATCTTTAAATTTAGACTGAAGGTCAATCTTAATACACAACATTAGATAAAATTGTGTTTTTGGAAAGTCGTACTAAAAAGGTACCAAATATGTACCTTAAAGTACAAAATAATGTGTTTACGATACAGAATTCTGAAATTTATTATTTATTCTTAAAATTATTAAAACTAAGCATTTTACCAGTTATTAATGGAAGGTTGTAGTTTTTTTTTTTTGGAAATTTTGTACAAAAAGGTACTAATGGTACAAAAACCTGTGTTTTGGGGAAAACTCTACGCTGTTGGTGCTAGAATCTTAAACATTACACTGGAGGTCACTCATGATACAGGACATCAAATCAAATTGTGTTTTGTGGAATTTGTACTAAAAAAGTACGAAAATTTGGACTCCCTTGCTGCTTTTGAAAATTCGTACCAAAAAAAGTTCTAAAAATTGCTGAAATCTGAATTTTAGAGTTTGAATCAACAAATTTCGCATATAGGCCACAATTATTGCGTGACATCAAAAAAGGTAATGTTTTGGAAATTCGTACTAAAAAAGTACGAACATTTGGACTCCCTTGCTGCTTTTGAAAATTCGTACCAAAAATGGTTCTAAAAATTGCTGAAATCTGAATTTTAGAGTTCGAATCAACAAATTTCGCATATAGGCCACAATTATTGAGTGACATCAAAAAAGGTAATGTTCTTTGGAAATTCCTTCTAAAATAGGTACTCAAACTTACCAAATATTGTACTTTTAGAGATAGTAGTCGGACATTTTATATCTAGTACTGTCGGTGGAAACGAATATTATCTTCGAAATTCAATATCACCATTCGTACATTTTTGGTACTTAAAGCTACTAAGTGTGGAGAAGAAGGGGTGGAATTGTAAAATGTGGCATGTGGTCACTTCTGGTGTAAAGGGGTGATAAGCTGTATTGTTTGTACTATTTAGTATTTAATACTTTTTTATATAATAATTTAGTACTTAAGTACTTAGTAATAGTATCAAATATTGAATTCTATACTTTAAGCTTTAGAATCTTAACATTTTCGCACTACTAGCCCGAAACATGAGAAAAGGTGGAGTTTTAAGAATTCAGCAATACTAAATACTAAATAGGTATATATTCTTAGAATTTGTTTATCTGACTGCGTATTGCGAATTGGATTTATAAAGGCGAGCATTTTTGGTACGAAAAACGCAACCCCGGTACAAAATGCCACGAAGTTAAGCTTGGAATCTAAATTTTGGCAAGATCATCACTGGTGGTGCAAGAAGGTTGGATAGTGCGAGATTTTTGACAATTTGTACCTAAAGGGTACGAAAAGTACAAAAAAATAAAATCAGGCAAAAAAGCTGTAAGTTATACCCTCCACCATTTGGAGCGAATTTTGCAATTTTCAAAAAAAGAATAATTAAATAAAATCCATTAAAAATTCTTTTAAAATCTTAAAAATACCAAATATTGCCGTTATATTAGGGTCTATACGACGACGTGGAACTGGGTAGGCAACTTTTGTCATAAGCCATTACAATATTCAAATACCAAAATTAAAAATAAAAAACTTTGAAATTTTGAGTACGGACAGATGCTGAGAGGAAATTAGAAAATCTGAACTATAAGGGTACGAGAAGTTCTAAAAAGTACAAAATGTTACAACATTATTATTGGGCGGATTACTGGAGCTATTAATTTTAATTTTTGAATGATTGTCAACACAAGGCCGGGGCTTTGAATATTCATAAGTCCTAAAAAGGCATAATATTGTCATCTCAGTGTACGAAAAGTACAAAATGTTACAGCATTATTATAGGTCGGTTTGTTAGAGCTATTACCAAGGTAGGGGAATTGGATATTCCTATTTAAAGGGTACTAAAAGTACCAGAAAGTTACAACATATTCATCTGAACTTTTAAGGGCAAGAAAAGTACTAAAAAGTACAAAATGTTACAGCATTATTATTGGTCCATACAAGCCACTTATGGGTACTAAAGTACCAAAAAGGTGCAACATTATTATTGAGCGATTCACAAGAGCTGGAACTTTAAATGTTTTGCAGGGTCAATCTTGGTGCAGGAGGTGATTTGTACGACTTGGTAAGGGTAAGGAATAAATTGTGCATTTTTTTATTGAACTGAAGCCCAATTTTTACGTTGAAAGAGATTTTCGGAACCTTCCACTCTACGGGTACGAACCAGGTGAATTTGAATTTTGCATAGGGTATTATATATTCGACCACCGATCAACTTTTAAACATTCCTTGTTGTCGTTTTATTTATCTTTTTTCTTATTCCCCCCCCCCCCCCCTGTCCACTACTATACACATTCGGCGTTTTAATCCTAACTGAGAGTGCCCACCGACCCAAGCAGAGAATATTTTTAAATGTTTTTTTATGCCCTACATGTCTTTGTGTCTTTGTGCATATGTTTGTAACATGGAGAAGGAAGCGAGATAGACTCATATTTAGTCTTGAGGATCTTCATAGAATCTCTGAGTCGATTTATGTATATCAGTCCGTCCGATATAGATATAACTCCCATATATATCTTCAACCAATTTCGGGTTAATTGTGCACCAAATATCTAAAATCTTTCCAAATGAACTGATTATTCGTTATTCCGACTGAATTCAAATTTGAGTACTTTAAATTTGAAATTTGGTTAAGATATAGCTATAGCACCCATATATATGTTTCATTGGGCCTTTTTATAACAAATGGGTTAAAAAATAAATAATTAATAAATAATCCGATTTGGGCTTCTAAGTCCCTCACATGCGGTCCATAACAAAGATTTTTGGTACCAGATATCAGATATAGCTGAGAAATAAGTACCGAACATTTTGTCAAAATCGGTTCCCATTTGGAAATAGCTTCTATCTGAAATCTTTATCCGATTTCAGGTTTATTGTGACCAAATGTCTAATATCAGCCCAAATGGACTGAATTTTGTCACTTCCGACGGTGTTTAGCCCAGAAACAAATACTTCAAATAGCTCCTATATACATACATGATCACATTTTTATATATCTTCGATATAGCCCTTCATCCGATTTTACGGTAATTGCTCACCATATATCTAAAATCAGCCCAAATTGAATAGATTTTTTCATAATCAACCGAATTTTACCATTTGGTGAGACTCGGTCCGGTATATATTGTTATATAGCATTGTTAGTTGGTACTAGAGGTACGAAAGCCCCCGTCAAATTTGTTGGAAATCGATTCAGAGTTGGATATAGTTCCCAAATTGTGAGTGCTCTAAAGCCATGATATGCATTCAAAAAAGGTTCGTATTTGGTATGATCTACTTCACATAAACTCCCAATATAAACTTTTTTTTTTATTACAGGAGCTCTACTATATCATATCTATCATATAGTCGGCCCGTCCGACTTCTGACCTTTCCCTAATGTGTTTTTTTTTAAAATATTGAGTATAATATTAATGTATTAAAAATATATATTTTTGGAAGACCACGGACCTTCTATATATTTAAGTATTGAAATCCTGGAGGAAAATTTAGGAAGTTCGTCATTTTTAGAATTTGGATAAAATTTAAGAAAAATTATATTTATAGGCATCCAAAACCTAAAGTTGAGGGTCTTTTTAAATATCTCTCAAGGATTTCGAAAATTCGCAACTAATTCTCGATTTATTTTCAATTAGTCTCCCAAATCACTGTGCTCTACCCTAGCAATAATGATCAATAGATTCAAAACTATTATAAGAATGCTGACGTTTTGAACTCAAAAATAAATGATTTTGGGGAAACCACTTAACATTCTAAATGGTTTTTTTAGTTAAAACAAAATCCAAATAAAAAACATTAATTGCAAAAAAAAGGAACAGAAACAGCTACGCCATTAAATTTAATTTTCAATCTTTTTTTCTTGATTTTTCTACTTTGTTTAGCATTTTTTCTACTACGTCATCAAATTAAATTTTCTTTTTTTCTTTTCAATATTCTTTAGCATTTCTTTTTTTTGTTTCTACTTGTTATGTGTGATGTTAATTAGTTGGTTTACCTTAAAAATGTGTTTCTCATATTGCAATTATTTGTTAGTTTTTTTTTTGTAGTATTTTTGTTAAAAGCATGTTTGACCATGCATTTGGTTGTTGTTAGTTGCATGTTATTTTTTTGTTTTACAGAAAAATTAATATTTTGAGTTTTTTTTATTAGTAGATTGTTTTTTCCTTTGCTTTTAATATTCCTTCATACACTTACCTTATTCCTCTGTTTGTCCTCCAACTTTCGTCGTTTTTGCAGCAATTTGAGTTTTCTGGCTTCATCTTTGGCAAATTCTCCTAAATCTTTGGTATAGCGGCCATACATCTAGGGGAGGAGAAAGAACAAACGGAAAAGTGGAATTAATGATGGGTTTAAAGTAGTGAGTGTGGGGTTTTGGGTCGTATGATTGATAATAATTAATTGATATTAGTTATACGCACCCATGTTTAGCAAATGAAACCGTTCATTCATGATTTCCTTTCGCGGAACAAATTTCAAAAAAATTTAAAATAATTGAATGTAGGAATCAAAAATTTGGAAATTTTATGAAGGGTCACAAAAAGGGTCACTTGAAACTGTATTGGTGTTGGGACACCTTATATAAAATTTCAACACCAGACTAAAAATAGAAAATTCAATTGGACAGCGCAGAAGTCAGTTGAGTTCACGATTGAAACAAAGACTCATATATCATAACACTTATATCGCATTTAGTCCCCACTTGAGCGATAGCAGTCGACTTCCTCCAGTTTTTACCAACCCTTTCGAAATCATTGCAGGAAGCAAAAAAATAAACTTTTGCGAAATGTACAAAAATATATAAAAAATAAATTAAAAAATCAGCTAAGTTTGACCGGGCCGAATTTTTTATACCCTCCGCCATTTGGAAGGAATTTCAAAAATTTCTAAAAAATTCCGTTGAAAAATACAGCTCAAAGGAAACCTTTTATATAGGGGCTGTACGGAGACGAGGTCCTGCATAAGTAAATTTTTGCCATAGGCTGTAGTAAAGATTCAGAACTTTGAATACGAAATTTTAAAGAATTCCGGTGAATAATGTCGTTAATATTATCACAATTCCGAATAAAGGGAGCCAACTTTATATGTAGGCTAAGCATAGACGTGAACCTGCAATTTTCCTTCATAGGTTGTAGTACCCATTGCGAACTTTAAATACGAAATTTGAAAAAATTCCGGTTAGTAATGTTGTTAAAATCATCAAAATACCGAAAATCGGGAGGTATCGTTATATGGGGGCTATACGGCATCGTGGACCTATTGAGACAATTCTCTTCTAGGGCACTCACTAGGAACTCCGATCCCTCCCATCTTTATAACATATCTTGAGTTAATAAAAATATTGTTATGTGTGCAATATGAAGTCAATCGGACTTATATTTCAAATTTTTTAAGAGTCATAATTATTCAAAATTTTGATCCTTTGTGGGGGAGGAACTTGATCGAATAGACCGATTTTGTCTATTTTCGCACCCAACCTAGCACTGATACAAATATTAGGATTTACAAAATTTGAAAATTGGATGATCTTTTCTTTTCTATGAGGTAAATTATTTTCTATAAAAATGTCGACCTTTTGTTGGGGAGGTATCAGAAGGAGCGGACCGATATTGTCCATCTCCGAACTCGATCTAAGTTTGAAAATATTATTATGATGTACCAAATTTAGACCAAATAGGATACTCCCTTCGAGAGTTATCGTGCGCACTAGCCAGACAGACAGATGGACGGACGGACACCTCTAGATCATCTCAAAATGTTCTGAAACGGATTTGGTCCAGAGAAACCTAGAATCCAAAACCGTTATTTCGATGAGACACGTTTTGGTCGTATCAAATGATATACAGGGTGAGATGAAAAAATTGCAACCAACTTCAGACAGCTTCAGATAGGTTAGAAATGACTAACCCACTAGTCCGACAGCTGTTAAAATTATTCCAGCGACAGCTCATTATAATATTTAAAAGAATACAAAAGCATTTTGGTGAGAATTTTCCAGAAAAAAGTTATTCGCTATGGAATTCAAGCGTGATAGTGTGATTTCTTTATATTTGGCTGGAAAACAACAAGTGGCCATCGTTAGAGCACTCCAGCATTTAAATGTGAATAAATCTCTTGTGTCTCGCTCGGTACGAAGGTTTCCGACGTCAAGCAAGTGAAAGTGGACGGAAGAAAACAGCAACATAAGCAGAAATGGTTCGAAAAGTAAAGAAGCGACTTGATCGAAACCCGCGTCGCAGTGGCCGAAAAATGGTTCGTGAGCTGAATATATCGCAATATTCCATTCGGAAAATATTGAAAAATGAGCTCGGGATAAACCCATTGAAAATCCAAAAAGTGCACAACTTACACCGCAACAAAAAGTAAATAGACTCAAAAGAGCTAAAGAGTTGCTTTGCTTGGCCGAAAATGGTGAACTGCCGAATTTGGTTTTCTCCGATGAAAAAACAGTCGTTTGTTAACAAACAAAACTCTTGTGTTTACTTCCCAAAGAGGTCAGCTGAAAATGTGCACCTTCGGTTGGCCACCAGAACTAAAGCTCAGGCCATGGTGAGGGCCGCCCGCCATAACAGCCGATGGTCACTCTCCACTTGTATTAATCGACCGTGGCATCAGAATAAATGCCGAATATTATCGCGAAAATATTCTGGAGGGTGTATCACAGCCTTGGTCACGCAAATATTTTGGCCGCATACCTTGGACATTCCAAGGGGACTTAACACCATTGCACTCAGCACGCGCCACCCAAGAATGGTTACAAAATGAGGTTCATTGCTTCATTTCCAGGGCACAATGGCCACCAAAATCTCCGGATACCAATCCGTTGGTCTATTGTGTTTGGAGTATTTTGGAACGCAAGGTTGGCACTAAAAAATACCAAAGTGTCGATCACTTCAAGTAAGCGCTTCGCCGGGAATGAGCCAAAATACAGCAGAGCAACATTCGGACAGCGTGTGACGGTTTCTTTGGCCGTTTGAAGACCATAATTCGTGCCAAAGGTGACAAATTCGAACAAATCTAAAATTATTCTAAAATTTGATGCAATTTCCGACATTATTTGCTTTCATTCAATTAAATTAAAAAAAAAGTAAAAATTATGGCGTTTGACTTTGTTGCAGTTTTTTTATCTCGACCTGTATAGGGTAAGTGTGCCTAAGTTCGGCATGTCCCAGTAGTCGGCACTTTTTATTTTTAAGCCCAAATAAATGAAACTTTTATAACTAAATATATTTTGTTTACTTCAAATATATTGTCAGCTATCTTTGTGTACAATTTCGCTAAGAAAAGATGATTTATTCTAATAAAAATTAAATTTCTGTATGTGAAAGTCCTCAACAATCCATATTCTTAAGAAAAGTACAGTAAAGACGTCGAATCAGTTTAACTAAACAAAAATATTATATTTTATGAATTAATTTATTATTATCATTAATTATTCTTACAAAAAAATTGGTATGCCGACTGTTGCAACATGCCATACAGACAATTGGCAAGTGGTGCCGACTACTGGCAAAAAAGCATTGTTTTAATAAAACTACAAATTTATGAAATTTAATAAAAGGTTATTAAAACTTTATTTATTATTGCAAAAACTATACAAAATTTCAAATCTGAATAAATTAACTTTGTAATAATTGAAAAGTTCCACTCAGAATGGTGAGCGATTACAAACGCGAAAATCCTAAAAGTGCCGACTACTGGTACACTTACCCTATATGATTTCCTGGCGTTTAGGTATGATTTAGACTTTTGATGTCTTCTAGGAACTATAGCAGAATTTTATGTCAAATAATTTTGCAGAATATTTTGACTTGCTGCGATCTCCTTTAAATGGAGTTTTTAGGCATATTTCAAAAAAAGGACCAAAAAGACCCATTTGTTGACTTGCTTAAGGGATAGAACTTTCCACCAAAATATTCCTCATATTTTTTTCCACAATATTGCCGAACTGTAAATTGTATACCTAAAATACACGGATTCCGAGGAATCTTAAACTGAAAATTTCCAAAAGTTTGGAAAAGGGGGAAGAACTTGTTCTTTCAACAGAATAAATATTCTACATCAAATTATACTGAACTAAAAAAAATAAATAAATAAAAAAAATTGAATACTTATTATGAACCATATAATATAGCATCAATAAAAAATATTGTTTATTTCTAAAAAATTTAATTCGAATATTAGTTTTCAATATAAACTTTCAAAACAATGATGCATGTGTCTTGTTTTTTTGCTCTACTTTCATAATCTCACTCCCTCACTCATTTAACATTTTTTTTTTAAATCTTGGCTTTTATTTGGTATAAATAGGTCAAGGACCCACTCACAATATTCCGATTAAAGAGAATGATTTTCAATTTTTTTTAATATTTGCCGATAATGGATTAACTTGCCAAAGCAAAAAACTATATCAACCCCATTTGCCAATGAAAATATTGATTATACGCCCCCACCCCCCCAATCCCCCCTTCCTGACACCTTTCCCCATTCAAAACAAATAATGCTAAAAATACAAGTACACATCTTATTTATTCAGACACTTAGCCAGACCCAGATCCCCCTCAGAAAAGAGAGAGAAAAAAAAATAGGCAATGAAAACCGAACAAGTGCACAATACGAAGATGAAAAATACGGTGAAGTGCAAATATTATCTAGTATTTCATGTACAAATGTTTATAATAATAATAACAACACAGAGAAATATATAAATAAAAACTTATGTATTTATTGTTATTGTTTTTGTTGTCATTTCTTCATCTTTTGTTTTTTTTTTGCCACCTATTTCAATATTTTTTTGTCTGTTTCGCTTGTCATCCGCCGTCGCCAATTGTAAAAATAGAAATATTAAAACAAATTAGCAGAATTTAATGCAATTTTCAGATGAAAATTGTCTAGCGAATATTGGCAGCCGTTACAAAAACAAACAAACAACGACAACAACAACAACGACGACGCCGACCATAACAGAAACTATGACGACAACAACAACAACGACGACGCCGACCATAACAGAAACTATGACGACAACATTGGGTTTTTATCAATGCCATTAAATCTCTATTTGTAAATTTTTCTTAAAATAGTTTCATTATCTGATTCAAATTTTTTGTACGGGGCATGACAGGTGGACATTGGAACGGTGATATGGATAAAGATTTAATGAAAGAGGCCAGGAAGATATATTCACAATATTTTTTTAAATTGGACTATATATTCAAAACAATATTTTTATTTTCAAAAACTTATGCGACAAATCGCAAATTAAAAAAAAAACTAATAAATACGGTGTTAACTTTGACCGATCCCAACCCCTGATACCCTAGGGAAAATTTTTAGTCCTACCAAAATACAAGTTTTTTTTTTAAGAATTCCCAAAATTACTCACATACACACAATATAGACTGACTGTCGGTTAAACAAAAATTTTTAATTTTTAAAAAAAGAACCACATTCATGATTTATTAAAAAAATGCAATATAACAAAAAAAATATAATAATTGTTGGCATCTTTTCTGATCTTTACAATGCGATTCTTGTGCTGCAGAATTGTCGTCGTCTTCACACAACAAATTGTCTTATGCTGATGGACGGACAGCTATACAGACAGACAGCCTGAAAGACGACAGCAATGGCAGTGACATACAAAAAAAAATCAGAAAAAAATATTGAAAAAAAAATTGCAAATAAATATTGCAAAACAACAAAAAATAGAGAAGGTTGCCAACATTGTGGGCCAAGATCAATAGATATGAAAATATGTAGATATGTGCGGACATACATACATGCGTTTATAAGTGCATGTGTTGTACTAAATGCATGTGTGTTCGGGCATAGCCAAATAGGCTCAATGATTTAAGGTATGAATATATTAAAGAAATTTTCACAAGGTAGAGGAGGTATTCAACGGTCTTCTGAGTTGAAACTGAAGAGAGTAAATGTATACAATTCTTCCAATAAGTACTGCCGTACTAGCATTTTGTTGATAAAAAAGGCGAAGAAATGTTCTCACTGTTGATCATCGGAATAGTTCGAATTAGTCGTCCCTATCGTTTCAGAAGTTTGAGGTGAAATGTCAAAAGTCACTCATATCTAAAATATTAAAAATAATAATCATTGCATTTCGTATCTGACACAAGTCTGATATAAATGTACCAGATTTGTGCTATATCGACTACTTCATTCACTTTTACAAGAGATATGTAATAATGTCTTAACTCTAGTTTTGTAAAAACTCTTCAATTTTTTTTTTAAATTTTTTCCAGTGGTTGGTATTTTTACCCTGATCACGGGAAACAATTTTTTCTTGGGGGAAGATTTTTTCCAAAAAAAATATAAAAAATCCGGGTCCAAAAAACGATAATTTGACTATAACTTCCGAATAGCTTAACCCATCAACGAACCCATCGTAAGTATTAAGTAATTAATTAAGTGGATCCCGGTCCAGCCCGGTTCAGTCTCGGATCCCAGGTCCGTCCCTCAAGAAAAAAATAGTTTCTCGGAATTAGGGTAAAAATAACCACCTCTGGAAAAAATTTCGAAAAAAAATCGAAAAGTTTTTACTAAACTAGAGTTGTTCTGTAATAATTTCTGGAAAATTAAGAAATGTGCTTGAAGTACCAGATAAAGTGGACCGAAGTATTCCACTTCATCTAATGCTGAAAATAAATATTGGGATGAGCATCTAACATTTATTTCCAAGTTTATGAGATTAATTAATAAAAATTTAAACATTTTGTGGGGAGGTACCTAAAGAAATGAGTCGATGAATTCTATATTCTCATCACATCTCAGGTTACCAAGTTTTAAAAGAATTGCTGACTTGTTTCGCAAATTATAAGAGACAAAAATATTAAAAATCGTGGCCATTTGTGGGAGCGATACCAGAAGGGATAGGCCGATATCTATCATTTTGACACCAGATCTTGTGTTAATTGAAATATTTGGATGTGTGAAATTATAAGCGTTTCGGTTATTCAAAATTTTGACCCTATGTGGAGGAGGTTCTAAAAGGAGTGGACCGATATATTCCATCTTCATCTTTGAAAATAATCGGATTTTGTGAGCTATGAGCCATTTAAATTTTTGTCCCGTTATGGGGGAGGTACTAGAAGGAGTGGTCTGGTATATTTTATCTTCACACCAGATTATGTGTTGATAGAAATATTGTGATGTGTGAAATTGAAAGAGAATTGGATTCATATTTCGCAAATTATAAGAGATATAAATATTTAGAATTTTGACCTCTTGTGGGTGAGGTACCAGAAGAAGTGAACCGACATACTCCATCATCACACCAGGTCTTTTGTTAGTAGAAATACTGTGATGTGCGAAAATTGGAGAGAATCAGATCTCTATATCGCATTTTATCGTAGTTATAATTATTCGAAATTTTGACCCTTCGCTGGGGATGTACTTGATGGTGTAAACCGATATTGTCCATTTTCTCACCTGGTATAGCACTTACAAAGATATTGGAATTTTCAAAATGGTAAATTATGCGAGATTTTTTGTCATAGGCTGTAGTACCGCTTACGAACTTCAACTACGAAATTATCTTTTAAATCATCACAATACCGAATATTTTGGAGTACCATCATTATATGAAAAGGTGGACCGAAATGGCCCATTTTCGAACCTAACTTACTGGTAAAAAACACTTGTGTGCAAAATTTTAGCCTTCTATCCTAATTCATTCCAAAGATAGCGTGATTACAACAGACAAACCGACTTACAGACGGACATTGGTAAATGGACTACTTTTTTGGGTCCGACATGAGCATTTCGAGGAGTTACAAACGGAATGCCAAAGTAAATATACCCTCTATAGTATGGTAAAGGGTATAAAAATGTCGGATTAAGGGATTTTTCCAATTTTCTGAAGGTTTAGCGGTCGCGAGAAGCATGAGAAGGTTAATTCTCATAACTGCTGTATCCAATATCAGGGTGCACAAAATACAATGAGTTTATTGGAGCAGAACAAGCTGGATACTTGTCTATCTGGTCGTGACAGCCCAGTAGTGAATCTGCGACGTTTGTGTTAGATTTTGGGAACATTCAAATTTGTGTTGATTGTTTTGACCTATTTTTACCACGTTTTTTTTTACTTTTTTTTTGATCAGCGTAACATTTTAGCCCTGTCCGTCCGTTCATCCGTCCGTCCGTTGTAATCACGCTACAGTCAAAACGAATTAAGATAGGAAGCTTAAAATTTGCACAGGTCTATCTTTTGTGTGCAGGCAGGTCAAGTTCAAAGATGGGCTATATCGATACACGATATCGTATAGCCCCATATAACGCTACCCCTGATATTCGGTATTTTTCAATGGAATTGTCTAAAAATTCAAACAAGGAGCTCTTTGTGAGTACTTTATCTTCTACAAAAGAATTGTCTATATAGGTCCACGATATCGTATATCTCCCATACAACGGTACCTACCGATATTCGGCATTTTGATGATTGTAGGCAAAATTTTCAATGAATCTGTCTGAAAATCCACAAAATTAGTTCCTTCTGAGCACTTTACCCTCTGGAAGAAAAATGTCTTTATAGATCCACGATATCGTATAGCCCACATACAACGGTACCCCCCGATATTCGATATTTTGACATTTTTAGGGACAAATATCACCGGAGTTGTATCAAATTTCGTATTTAGAGTTCGTAATGGGAAGTAAAATCTATGACAGGTCCAGGTCTTCGTATAGGCCCCATAAAGCAGTACCACCCTATATTCGGTATTTTGACGATTTTAGGTACTATATTCAGCAAAACATTTTCCTATTTGAAGTTCCTAATTGGTCCTACATCTTGTTACAGAAAATTATCTATGCAGGTTTTCTTATAGCTCCGATATAACGGAACCTACCAATATTCGGAATTTTGATGATTTTATCTACATTATTTACCGGATTTTTTTTTTTGTTTTGCATTTGAATATGGTAATGGCAAAAAAACAAAAGTTGCCTATGCAGGTCCACGGGTATAGTCGGTATTTTTGAACTTTTTACAGAATTTTTAACGGATTTTATTTTTTTGAAAATGGAGGGTATTCAAAGTTCGGCCTGACCGAACTTACTGCTTTTTTCATTGTTTTCTCCTTTATCCATTTTGTAGAAAATGACTCAAAAAAAAAAAAGACAGCGTCATTCAGATACTGTTAAAGTCGAATTATTTATGTTTTGAAAATAATTTGTTGTTTCTTAAAAAAATGTAAAGATACCGAAATTAATGTTATATAGGAACCTACATCTAAATGTGGATAGATATCCAAAATTTTCAGAACATGGAATGACAAGTGTCTTTTAATGACAAAATATCTGTAAAATGGTTTCATATATTGTTAAGAGCGCCATCTGTACTTCAATATTATTAATTAATATAATTATTTTGGAAATATAACGCCATCTAGACTTAGATTTATATTAATATTTATTGTTATGTTTTTTCATGATATGTAAGTCATTCTTGATAAGTTTGCGCTGACCAATAGTATAACAATAATTTTATTATATGATAGAGGGTATAAAAGGTATTGGATCACAGCAAGCGGTTTGTATGTGATAGTGGACGCCATCTATACATCAATTCTAGTACTATTCATTATTAGTGTTTTTGCAGCAAAGTGCAACCTTTCGGGCGTTAAACGGAGAAGTGATATTAGAGATTAAATCAAATAAGTATAACGAATTAATTTCGAAGATTTTAAATATTGGAAATGATCTAAGAGAGAAAACAAAAGAAGTCTCAAATTGGGAATGGCGGAAATCCATATTTTATAAGTATTGAAGTAATTATTCTAAATGAAAAAATCAAATTCTAGCCTACAGGATGAGATCGCACACACTGTCCCACCCACACACACACCCCCGCACCCACTTACATAATAGAAAGCTTCAATCTCCACATCAACTTGACTCTTGAGTTCATTGTAAAGATCATGGCTAGAACGTCGCGAGTATGTGTCATCGAGACGCGATGCTTCCGTCGATGTTAGCAGCCCGGCTGCATGGCGATGTTCGGCCTCCTGGCGCAAATAATCATTGCGATTTATCAGAAGTTCCGGTTCAAAAGCATATTCACGGATATATTCATCGCATTGGCCGTCACATTCCTGTTCGTTTTTAAACATCGAAGCGATGATGGTGACGGTGACCAAGAGCGTGCCAGGCGGGCACGCATAACACACATTCGAGACAATTCACGACAGCACTTAATGTGTTAAGGTTTCTATTTTTATTTTTAGAGGTAGTTAAAGCTTTGTTGTCATAACATTACAAGTCACCCTTGGGATTTTTTTTTTGAAAAAAGGGTGAAATCTTGGAAAATAGATTTTTTCTTTCTTTTATTTTAGTTTTCTTTTGTTTGTTTACTTTTGTTTTTCCTTAGTTATTTAGCTATTTGTTTAAATATCGATTTTTTCCTTCAATTTTTTTTTTCTTTTCCACACTTCCGCTTATGGATTTTCCCTTCAGGCCATTTGTTGTCTTCAAAGGTTTCTTGGGGTGTTTTTTTTTGTTGCTAATTTTATTTTACATAATCCATGTTAATTTTATTATTTAAATTTAAATTTAAATTTTAAGACGTCGTCTCATAATTTTGAGCAAAAATGCAGCTGCCACACGGGTTGCTGATGATGACGACGTTGTAGCTGATGTTGATTTTATGCCGACCTCTAGCATTTTTCATTGGCTTAGTCATAACTGTTTCTTTGGGGTTTTGCTTCACTGCCTATCATTTATTATTCCAATCATTGTTTGGTGATCTCAAAAAATTGTGTTTATATTTATTATTTATTACATTGTTGTATTTTATATTAATTTTGAAATTTTCCTTAGGTTTCTGTTTTGGTTAAAATTATAACATCAATAATTTTTCTTATGGTGACCGAAATGAAAACAAAAGATTTGTATCTCTATATATTTGCGATTTTTTATTACCATGTAGCACACGGGGTGTCCTCAAAGCCAAAAGAAATAAATTTTTGAAATTTTAATTTTCTTAAAAAAGAATTCTTATTAAATAGTTAAAAAAAATAGCAATATTTTTTATACAAAGAGGTTTTCCTATGATTTTTTTTAAATTTTATTAAAAATTCATCAATTATTGAACTACAAAATAGCACCTAAAATCGAAGACGTATTCCATGGCAGTCCCAGGACTACAAAAATTCATTATTTCTATGAAATGTACTCTCATTTTCCCTCGAAAAATGCGCGATAGTCATTCACTTTATCTATGACTACGGCTTTTGTGAGAAATACAAATTGTGGGGCATACTTTTAGGAGCCAAATAAATCAAAAGTTTTATAAAACAACTTAAAAAGTATCAGTCGGTTTAGCCGAGAGATGTTTACCCTCAGCCAATGTTCTATTATTTAAATATTTTTTTACTTTTGTTAAGATTATTCAAATTGTTGACCCTAAGGTTCCGAAGGAATGGACCAATATTGTACATTTCGTATCGGACCTAAATAAATATGATATGAAAATTATGACGTGCCAGGTTTGGTCTGTTGCTTCCTTAATTTTATATGAGTTATGTTAAAATTTTTAGAAATTTTTTAAAATGTGCGTGGTGTACCAGATATATATTCAACCGAAGTATTCCATTTTCATAATTCAACTAATACAGATGAAAATATTAGTATTGACAACAATACAAGAAAATCGAACATTTATATCGAATTTTATGCGAAATCATAAATTCCATATTCATCTCGGGTTTCTGGTTGAGAGAAATATTTAGCATATAGCAAGTTGTAAAGAATCGTCGACTTGATTCTGTGAAGTTTGAAGAGAATCATAGGCTTATATCTTGTTTAACAAGCTGACCCTCTGTGGGGGAGGTACTTGAAAGAGTGGGCCGATGTTGTCCATTTTCGCACCTGACATAGCCCTGATGCAAATATTAGAATTTACAAAGTTGGAGTAAAATCGGATAATCGTTTCTCTTTCTGTGTAGCAAAATATTTTTTTTGGAAAGTTCGAACTTTTGTGATTGTGGTACCAGAAGGAATGGTCTAATCTCTACCATCTTTATCACAGATCTTCTGTTGATGGAAATATTGAGATGTACCAAGTCTTGAATGGAATCGGATGTTAGTTTCTCTTTTTATGAGCTTCATGGATATTCAAAATTTTGAGCCTTTGTGGGGGTGGTACCACAAGGAGTGGACCGATATATCACACCAAACCTTCAGTTAATAAAAATATTGTGATGTGTGAAATATGAAGAGAACCGGATGCTTATTTCGGATTTTATGATCGTTTTGAATAACCAAAATGTTAACTCTTTGAGGGGGAGGTAGCAGAAGGAAAGGTCCGATCTCCACCATCTTTATCACAGATCTTGTGTTGATGGAAATATTGAGATATGCCAAGTCTGCATAGAATACGGTTGTTAATTTTGTGTTTTATGAGCTTCATGAATATTCAACACTTGGACCTTTTGTGGGGGAGGTACCAGAATTAGTGGACCGATATATTCTATCTTCACACCAGACGGTGGGTTTATACAAATATCGTAAAGAATGTAACTTGAAGACAATCGGACTCTTATATCAGATTTTATAAGAGTTATAATTATTCCAACTGTTGACCCTTTGTGGGGGAGGTAATTGATTCCAAATTTTCTGAAACGGATTTGATCCAAAGAGACATCGGGTCTAAAACCCATGTTTCGAGTAGACACTTTTTGGTCGTATCTTGACTTAGTTTAGAGTTTTGAGTATATGTAATCTCTTCATGCTAAAAATTATGAAAATTGTTTTAGTATTTGGTATAGGCCCTTTTTCGGTATTTCGAAGGTTTCGATCATAATTTCAAATCCAGTAATGAGTTACTTGATATTTTGTGCTCTAAGCTGGTAGAATCTCGGCCTGCAATTTTTTTTTGAAGATTGGCCTGTTATTATGTATTGACCATATATAACGGAACTTCCATGTTTTAGGTATTTTGAGGAACTATCCCTGCCAAATTTTGTGAAGATAAGTCCACTATTATACATGGGCCCCAAATATTAGGAATTTTGAGGGTTTTCAGACAGTGTTTTTTCACATTTAACAATTTAATTTAGGTTTCTGTAGAGCCTGGGAAAGTTAGATCAAAAAAAAAAAAAAAAAAAAAAACAGAGATAAATTCACATTTTATTTTAGTTTGACAAAAATTATACAGATATTTTGTGCCACAGGTCGGAAATTTTTATAGCCCACAATGGAAAACCCTAAGTTAAAGCCTTTAAAATCTGCTTGACCTAAAATTCATTAAATTCGAAGGTATCGTTATATGGGGGCTACTCTTAAAAATATATTTTAATAACAATTTATTAGTTATATTTAAAAATGAAGCTAAAACCTCCAAAAACCCAGAATTTGAAAAGAGGAATTATAGCTGATTCAGTTGGAATTTTTGGTAAAAATAATAGGTTCTGAACGTATTATTTCGATATGTTTATAAAAAATCCAAAAAATTTAAAAAAGGGAGGATATTTGCCCTCTCCAGATTGTTAAATTATCAGGATCTTTGCAAAATTTGTCTGTTGCAAGTAGCAACAAAGATTCTCTGCCAATGTTTTTAAGACAGGATGGAGCGATTCTATTTTTTTAATTTAACGGATTTGAACTAATCTTGGCATACTTCACATAGCTTGTATCAAATTTCGTTTGTAAACTTCATTTATTATATTTCAAAATATTCTGATAGTACATATTTCCTATGGCTTTGAGGAATTTTATCTTTACTATCATTTGAATATGTTATCATTATATTTTTATTTTTAAGTTTTATAAAGAATGATTTTTAGAACATATTTCGTTTATTGTAAATAAAACTTATTATTTGTTATTAGCATATTTAATCCACTATTTTGTTGTGCTCGACGCATAGTGTGTTTTCACTTGGGCCACTCATGGCTATTGTTGATGTATTTGTATTTCTTTTGTTTTTGTCGTTTCTGTCATTTGCCTGTTTCTAAGACGTTATTGACGTTTTTGCACAGGGACGTGAAATTATTTAATTTAATTAACGCTGAGGATAGATAATATTTTGTTTCACTTTAAAAAATATTTAACTTGGAAATGGATTTGAAATATATTTAAGAAATTTAATATTTTGAATCTTTTACGCAAAAATATGTTACTTTTACGAAAATTATTATTTCTATATGTTTTATTTTTATTCTGGATTGTTGTGTTTTATTTTAATTTTTATTATTTTGTTTTAACATTCAACTTTTTTTTATTTATTTTTTAATGTTTTTATTTTGCAATGCGTTTTTATTATTTTTTATAGAAATATTATTATTATTTGTTTTAAATTCAACTTTTTTATTTTTAATGTTTTTATTTCTTTTATTCCGATTTTTATTATTTTGTTTTTAAATTCGATTTTTTTCATTTATTTTGTAAGGCATTTTTGTACATTCGATGATTATAATTTGTGTTTAAAATTATATATAAATTAATTTGTGTGTGTGTGTGTTTTTTTTTCAAAACAATATTGAAAATTTCTATGTGGAATACAATTTTATATTTTTTGTTCTTTATTAATTTATATATTAATTTTAAATTATTAAAATGCTTTTTTTGTATTTATTTTTTAAATTTTAGATAAGTAAATTGTAAATTTTCTTCCAATATTAAATTATTATATTTAGAGACTATTTTGGTCGGTCTAATGTTGTTATGAAGTTTTTTTTAAATTAAATGTTTTATTTATTTTTTTAACACACTGCTATTTTACTATTTTTGATAATTGTAATACTTTTGTTTTTATTTAAAATTAATTAAGATTTTGTATTAAACACCATGTTTTTGATTTTCTTTGAAAGTATTGATTTATATTATTTTTATTTTTTTTAACATATTATTATTATTTTAATTTTCTATTTTTATAAGTTTTTCAATTTTGTTTAACTTTTTTATTAATTATTAAATGTTAGAAATTAATTATCTATTTTTTATTTTATTTTTATTATATTTTTAAAAATAGTTTATATTACTTTTTACATTGTATTATTTTAATTTATTTACTTAATTGTAAGAATATTTAATTTTTTTTTATTTTTATATTTTTTTATATTTTTATGTTTTAATAAAATTTATAAGTAGTAAATGTTGTAGATATTTTCACCACATATTTTTCTCCAATTATTATATTTGCATTCCAAAAATTAATAAATGTTTTTAAAAAATTTTAAATATTAATTAATTTTTAGTAATTTTTAAAATCTATTATTTTAATTTATTTGTTTAATTTTTAGAATATTTAGATTTTTGTTATATATTTTTTATTTTTATATTTTATTTTTTATATTTAGATATTGTATACAATCTTTAAAATATTTTTTTTTTCGAATTCACTTTTAGTAATTTTTAAATTTTGTTACTTTAATTAAATTATTTAATTGTGAGAATATTTAGATTTTTTATTTTTCATATTTTTATATTTATTATTTTTTATTTTTATATTTAATTTCTTTATTTTTAAATTTTATTTTTTTATTTTCATATTTAAATATTGAATATAATCATTAAAATGTTATTTTTTCTTTAATTATTATATTTTATTGAAAAAAATCAAGACTGTTTTTTTTAATTTTTATTGCAATTTGTAGACTTTTATCACATATATTTTTTTATTTTAAAATAACTGTAATTCATAATTTAAATTGAGTCTTTCATTGATATGTTTTATTGTTTTATTATTATTAAATAAAAAAAACTAATGTTTTTCCTAAAAAATATTTATAAAGTAAAATATTTATAAAATATTTTTAATTGTTTCTATTATATAATTATTATATTTATAACTATAATTAATTATTATATTTATAACTGATTTTTTATTATATTTATTATTTCTGGCTATAAAA